TTCCTCTGCCAAGTTCACACAAATCTTCCCTCCACTCCCAGCTACATTTCCCTGTAATTTTTATGCCAATATCTTGCGAAACATTGAACTAACCAGCCACAATTTTAAGTGTTAACCCTGGAAATGGGACTCATTACTCCCCTGATTTTGGTAAGCATTGATAAGTACTGTACGTTGTTGAACAAAGCTCCTGTAGAAGTGTGAGGATTGAAAGGGAGAAGGAAATGAAAGCTTTGAACACATGATATGCATTTGACATAAGAGGGCAGCCAAAAGCAGTTTTAAATTTGGGTCTCTTGGTTTTCTCTTACCCAACTAGAGGATTTCTAAGGGTAATGGTTTTTGGTTGGTTGGGGTTTTTTTTTTTTTATTCTGTTTTGTTTTGGCTAGGTGTGGAAAAAAAAACTGGTTGTCAAGAATAACAGGCTGTAAAACATGTCCCTGAGCAAACTATTTTTAAAACAATGGCATCAAAATTATTCTAGCTATAAATTCCCCTTCCAGAATTCTAAGCAGTAAGATTATTTTTCCAAAACTTGATTCCTAAAATACAACATTTTACTCTCAACAGGGTTGATTTATGAAATTCCAACAATTCCGAGCTCGTGTGAATGATCTGATTGCGACCTCTTGAGTTAGCTTTAGAAAACTCTAAAATGTTAATATGAGGTTTTAAAAGTGGCTGAAATAGAACAGAAAAGCATGTTTGTGCATACATTTTGAATTAGATGGGGAAAATAGTTTGTATGTGAGATGATTGTTGTTGTTAGTTGCGAAGTTGTGTCCGACCCATCGCGACCCTATGAACAATGTTCCTCCAGGCCTTCCTGTCCTCTACCATCTTCTGGAATCCATTTAAGCTCACACCTACTGCTTCAGTGACTCCATCCAACCACCTCATTCTCTGTCGTCCCATACTTCTATTGCCCTCAATCTTTCCCAGCATCACGCTCCTTCCTTCTTATTAGGTGGCCAAGGTATTTGAGTTTCAACTTCAGGATCTGGCCTTCTAAAGAGCAGTCGGGGTTGATCTCCTAGGACTGACCGGTTTGAATGCCTTGAAGTCCATGGGACTCGCAGGAGTCTTCTCCAGCAACATAGTTCAAAGGCTTCCATTCTTTTGCACTCAGCCTTTCTTATGGTCCAACTTTCACAGCCATAAATGTGAGATTAGGGAGAGATTATTCATAATTGCTCAGCTATACTATCTCAGGGCTATTGTGAAGATAAAATCGGAAGAACTATGTGTGAAAATAAGATTAATAACAGCAAGAAAAGCAACATAATACAGGAAAAAAATAATGACTACACCAATATATATATCTCACATCCCCTGCAACTCAGATTAACCTGAGTACAACAAAGCCCCCCACCCAAACAGAACACTCCCCCAATCAATCAGAGCACAGCCAAGCTCCTAACCAAACAGAACACACCTCCATCCAATCAGAACACAGCCAAGCTCTCATCCAATCAGTTCATACCCCCACTGGCAGTTAAAAGAAAGAAACAGCTACGATCACACATTGCTCCTAGAAGCACGAAGCCGAAAACACCAGCCTGAAGATGACGAATGAGACTTCGTCGAAACGTCACCAAGACACTTCCAATTTGACGTGGGAGAAAATCCGAATAACCAAAGACCTACATGGCCTACAAACACCTGCGAAAATCTCAGGAAAAAAAATTATATGTGTGTGTGTGTGTGTGTGTGTGTGTGTGTGTGTGTGTGTGTGTGTATGTATATTTGAAATAGTCTGAAGTTTTGTTGTTGAGCATTTCAAATGAATTAAAGTACATGCTTTGGGACAGGTAAAAAATAATGCTATAACCAAAAATATATTTTAAAATAACCCATAAAATAACAGTAAATAATAGTGAACCAAATAATAGTTCACCCAAAGGTGAACTATTCTGGAGCTGCAACTATTACCTGCTTTTTTGAGCATAGATGAGGTCTTACAACTCCAAGGTGCCAGCCTCCAGCTAATCCACCAGTCTGCTCTGCCCCGTTGCCATTCAGCATTGCCATGTGGGTGCCACATCCTCTGAGGGTGGGAATTCCTGGATGTTTCTTGCTCTGAAGGAGATGAAGAGACAGGTCCAGCCAGTCATAGCAATGCTGCTGCCACTTGGGTGAGAGTCATGGTTAGCTCCATCACCAGTATAGCAGCACAGAGTTTACAGTACAGAAACTGAGTGGCAGGGCCTCCAGCCCAACTTTCTGCACAGCCATATAGCTGACCAGCAGCACTATAAGTCCACCCCTCAGTCTAGAAGGCCACATATACCAGTTCAGAACCAGATCTAATACTGGTCTCCAAGCAAGTCTTCCATCCAGCCACCCAAAAGGCTGTTCCAGGGGCTCAACTCTTTATCAGTCCCCACACCTTGCCATTTTCATATAGCCACATCAACACTTATTCTATGACTAGTCCAGTTGCACATTTGGCCTTAAAATCATTACAAAAAAAAAGTTACTCATCAAGGTAAGGTTGATCTGGGATTTTTTTATTCTTGACAAATACATTTTTATCACACAGTTCTATATATTGCCCATTTCCATTGTATCTTTTCCTTAAGCTAAGATGCATATAGATAGAAGTAGAAGCAAATAATGAACAATTTATCTAAAGGGCAGACTTCACACCATTAAGTCCTAAACTCTTGATGGGACTGAATACAGAATAATAGAGTTGGAAAGGACCTTGGAGGCCTTCTAGTCCAACCTCCTACTCAAGCAGGAGAGCATATTCCATTCCTGACAAATGGCTGTCCAATCTCGTCTTGAAAAGCCCCAGTGACAGAGCACCCACAACTTCTGAAGACATTCAGCTGGTTAATTGTCCTCACAGTTAGGAATTTCTCCTTAGTTCTAGGTTGCTTCTCTCCATGGTTAGTTTCCATCCATTCTTTGTGTTTAATTAAATTTACTACTACTACTACTATTACTACTATTGATGATGATGATGATGATGGAAGGGACTCTTGGAGGTCATCTAGTCCAACCTCCTGCTCAATCAGGAAACTCCGCCTACACTTCAGAAAAATGGCTTTCCAGTCTCTTTTTTAAAACGTCCAGTGTTGGAGCATTCACAGCTTCTGGAGGCAGGTTGTTCCACTGATTAGTTGTTCTGTCAGGAAATTTAAATAAAAGAAAATACATTTTATTTATTTTGTTTCCTGTCATTTATGAAAGGCAAGGAGGTTCAGGGTATTCCATATTTCAGGAGGCAAGTTTTTCCATGGCATGCGGGAAGCTACAGAGAAGGCAGGGATCTCCCAACCCCCCCCCCGGCCCCCCAAACAGGGAGATAGTGAGTTACATAGTTCTGAGCCGAGGGCTCCAGTCGATTTGCCTATGGGGAGAACTTAATGACGTCATAAAGGTGAATCCATTTGCAGGTTGCTCAGATTATTCCTGGGGGGGGGGGCGGGAAACAAGCGGCGCCGCCAGAGGAAAGAGGCGGAGCGGGAGCAAGGCGGTCTGCGCTCTCGTCTACTTGCCTTTCCCCACCCCCTACCCCCAAACGCCGCCCCTGCCTGAAATCAGAGCATCGCAGGCGGCTGCCGTCTTTTCTCCTTTTTCTGCTCTGCCGAGATGGACGCTGCAACTGCGGGCAGCAAGGAGCGGGAGGCCGTGCACCTCCTGGCAGAGGCCGAGAAGCGGGTCAAATCCTCCCACTCTTTCCTCAGGGGTTTTTTCGGGTGAGCCAGCAAGAGAGCGCGGGAAAAGGGAGGCAGGGAGCAAGGACCGCTGTCCTCGGCCCTTGAGCAGACCTCCGCGGTTGGTTGTGTTAGGCCCCGGTAAGCCGGGCGAAGGGAGAATTGCGGAGTGAGTGGCTATAGGGAAAGAGCCGTCGAAGGGGCGAACCCGAGTCAATGAGGGCCGCAACTTTGCGGGTGGAAAAGAAACCTTGGAGTTAAGACATTCGCACAGACCCTCTAGGGTTGTAAATGACAGCGGCTTTTTCCAGCCGGCCTTAAATATGACGTTGCCACCTGTCAGGCGGCTGGAGAAGGTCTGAAGGCTGTTGCAGGAAGTCCGTTGAAGTGACAGGGCACATTTCGGGGGGGGGGGTTCCTACAAAATGAGACCAATTTTGACAAGGACTCTGGTGAAATTTTCATTGCAGCCTGAGAGTTCCCAGATTTATTGCAAGCATACTTTCCTGTGGACTTGGCCATTAAGTATGGAGTGTGAGTGGAAGTCAACAGAGAGAATCCTAGTACAGGTAGTCCTTGACTTACAACAGTTTGTTTAGTAACTGCTCAAAGTTACAATGGCCCTGAAAAAGGTGACTTATGGCTATTTTTCGTAGTTACAACCTGTGCAGCATTCCCAGGATCATGTGACAAAATTCAGATGCTTGGGAACTGGTCATATTTATTCCCAGGGTGATCCCCTTTTGCAACCTTCTGACAAGTAAAGTCAATGGGGAAGCCCAATTCACTTAATAACCAGGTTACTAACTTATCTGCAGTGATTCACTTAACAACTGTGGCAAGAAAAGGCATAAAATGGGGCAAAACTCACTTAATAAATGTCTTACTTAACAACAGAAATTTTGGGCTCAATTGTGTTCATAAGTCGAGGACTACCTGGATAGGTAAGGACAGTGAGAGGTGTAGACAAGATCAGTGCTTAAGATGGTTCAAATGTTTTTAATTCATAATAATCAACCCTCTCTAGGGTTTGTTTTTAACATACAGTCTTAATCATATGCTAATTGTCCTAACCCAGTACCTTCAGGCATTTTGGATTAAAACTCTCATCTCCAGCTAGATAAGAATTAATTAATATTAACATATTTAACATATTTTCCTTCCATTCACTCATATCTGATTTTGAGAGACTGCCCAAAGAAGTCCCTGCAGTTTCCTTGGTATGGTTTTTCAGAAGTGGTTTGCCATTGCCTTCTTCCTAGAGCTGAGAGAAAGTGACTGGCCCAAAGTCACCAGCTGGCTTCATGTCCAAGGTAGTTTCATGGACTCCCACTTCCTAGTTTGATGACTACACCAAACTGGTGCTCCAAAGAGTTGTTACGAGATTATAATTTTTAGTGGGATGAACTGAACAAGGAATATTATTTCAATTATTAAACACATAAATTGACAATTATGAATAATATTTAAATTTAAGTAAATATAAATGAACCTTTCATTAAAGTTGTATATTCTTTCCCAAGTAGGACTTGTGTTGCAAATGATCTAGATTTTTATTTTCTACAGATTTAAGTTTGGCATAGAACAGGGATTCCCAACCAGGGGTGCTCGCGCCTCCTGGGAGTACGAGATGATATTCCAGGGGGTACAAAAAGTTGGGTTTTTAAAATTATAGTCATAGTGTATATGCATAATTCATTGCTGTTATTTCAAACTTTTTTTAAGGGGTACAAGAATATATCAAAAGTGTTCTAGGGGTGCAGGGTATAGAAAAGGTTGGGAACCACTGGCATAGAAGTTCCATTAGTCTGATTGGATTTCTTGTATAACATGGTTTTTGGGCTCTTCTGTCTACCATTTTTTTCCTCTGCCAATTGAGAGTAATGTTTCATGAAGACAGCAAAGTAGTCTGTGAATCATGACAGCTATTATTAAGTCATCAATGTACTATTACAATGCTGTGCAGTTTAGCTACAACAGACATGAAGGCTATCTTCTGCAATTTGTCAGTAATTTCCTTTCATGGCACCTTGGAGATACAAGAATGTCTGTTTAGGGTTCTTCATCGATCCACAATTGAGAAAACTAATAGATTGGTGAGTATCAGGAGGATGGTGTTTTTTGTGATTTCTTAAAGAAGCAACATTTAGCCAAACCTCATATGGATTAGAACAGGCATGTCAAACTCATGATGTCACCTGATGTCGTGCGACATATCAGGACTTTTTCCACATTGCTGGCAATGGGGTAGGCGCGGTTTCGGCGTGATGCATCGGGCCCGTGGGCCGGCAGTTTGACATGCCTCGACTAGAAAGTTAAGCAAGATTACTAATCAAGATATTAGTCTGGGATTGGGGAAACTGTGTTTCATGACTCTGGTTAATCATGAAGTTTAGCAATCTACCTCAAAGGTCTGAGGTAAGATAAAATTAAAGGGAACAGTCAACACCCCTCCGCACACACAACTGCACCGTCATGTAGTCCCTGAAATTTCCTAAATTAATGTAACAATATTAATATTTAATAATTAATGTTTATACACTTCTAAAAGAACCTTTTATTAAGATTTTATGGCACTGTTTTTCAATAATTGCCACTTCAATCTTTTTTTCTGCTAATGATATTGTTTTGCTGTTTACTCTTAGTATTGCTGTTCTTTAGTTTGCATGCCACCAAGAGGAGATGAACATCAAAAAGAAAATTGCAAAACTATTAAATACAGATAGTCCTCAACTTACGATCACAATTGAGCCCAAAATTTTTGTTAAGTGAGACATTTATTAAGTGAGTTTTGCTCCATTTTATGACCTTTCTTGCCACAGTTGATAAGTTGATTAGTTAGCAGTTGATTAGTTAGCAACCTGGTTGTTAAGTGAATCGGCTTCCCCATTGACTTTGCTTGTCAGAAGGCCGCAAAAGGTGATCACATGACCTTGGGACACAGCAGCAAACATAAATATTGTTGCCAAGCATCTGAATTTTGATTACATGATCATGGGGATGCTGCAAAGGTCACTAACTGTGATAAACGGTCCTAAGTCACTTTTTTCAGTGCTGTTGTAACTTTGAGCTGTCACTAAGTGATAAGTCGAGGACTCTGTGTAAAAGGCATTCTATTTAGCCTCTGAGGCCAGGGGTAAAACATACCGACCCAGCCTCTAAATAGGGAAAAGAAGAAAAGGAGAAATTGTGTATGTTTTCTCTTCTTTTACCTGCCTGCCCCAGCTTGTCTATTAGGACAGTTTTCATAAACAGCAACTGAGATGACGCACTGGATGCCTGCTGTACAGTCCATGACCTGATTGCTAGTCCAAATTGTAGTCCAAATCATGGGCATTAATAATTAGGGCTCTTCATTTTGCTGGTATTGTAATGAAAGTTTTTAAGTCAAATCAAACCAAATTTAGGGTCTAAACCGGCATAATAATTTTACTTACATATCATTTTAGTTGCTGAAGTGAGAATTAGGATGAGAATTTTTAATTCAAACTCAACTCTTTCCACATCTGCTTTCTATTTTATTTTTATAAATTCAGGATTTGTTTTCAGATTATTAGTGAATTGATTATCTGGTATCTGATAACCTTTAACTCCATCTTTCTTAAAGGGAGTGCCAGATAATAGCATTATAAACTATAGTTCAAAGCCAAATTATCTACCTGTATCTGTTCCCCCCCCCCCTTCTTAAAAAAAAATACAGTTGAGGAAGACTGCTGGATTGGGTCAGCATCTCTGTGTTTCCCATACATAAAGTTCCCATTTTCAGTGCAACTGTTTCTGCTTGTTATACCAAAGAAAAAATAGGGAAAAATTATGGCAGCAATTGATTCTTTTAAATGCAGAGAAAAGAGATGGTTGGTGTTTTATGATTCTGGGAGTGGTGCCAGTAAGCACTGTGGCTGCAATTGACAGAAATAGCTGTTACTCTGGAGAAAATACTCATCAGAGATTGGTCTCTGTTACTCTCTTTCCATTTTTCACCCTGGAAATGATTTGGCAATAATGATAACTGGTACCAGGTGCTGCTATCTGTAAACTTTGATGTACTCCATCTTTCTTGCATTTCTGAATTGCAAGTTCTTCAGTGAGATGTCTGAGGTTTGTTTTTATATCACTCCAATACATGATTTTTTTTAACTACGGTTAGCAGACTGTTGTACTATAGTATTTGTGAAGAGGCACATTAGGGAGAAAGGAAGGCAGGTAAAGCTCTTCAGGAATTTAACCTTCTTTCCCCCAGTCTGGAACTTGCCGTTCTTCCTCTCCTCAAGGCACTCCACCACTGAGCCCAGGTCATTCAATATCCCTTATCTGGTTTGTGTAAAGGTTACGGAGGTACTCACATCAGGAAATAGGAAGAAGTCCATGCCCATTTGTTTCCCAACCTTTTCAGCTTAGTGCAAATGGGTTTGTGGGCTGATTCTAGCAATTTTCTTTTTGATTTTTGTCATTGCTGGTGTCAAGATAAGTCGGTAGGAGTTGCTCCAATATGTAGGAAGACAGTTTGTGTTGGAGCTGTTAGCAAATACTAATACTTACATGCTTTATGCATTGCCTGGTACATTTTACATTGGGTGACTTTATAATGATGTTAGATTTATCCATACTTTATCCATTTAGGTATGAATAAAAATATACCTATTTATCTAAACATTTCTATTTAGGTCTGGTTTGCCTATAATATGTTGAATATCAGCAAGTCATGCTCTTCAGGCTGAGTGTGAATGACAGGCAGAAGGAATTTGGGGTTCTTAAAATAAGCCACAGGCAAATTGTTGTGGCCTTTGGTTAGGAAATGTAACCAAAAAATACAGTGTTCTCTTTTTTAAAAAATGCTCTGATAGGGACGCTTAGTAGTTTTAAGGCATATTTTACTATTAATATTATTAATCCATGGTTTAAGAGAACATGTGGTTTTGAGGAGTCTTATGATTCTGCGAAAACAGTTAAGGATCAATCAATCATTAAAAATTTATAACAGAAATTACTTCTGTAGGTAAACTAGCAAGTGGAGTTGGATATTTTCTCCTACAATAACCATAAAACTGATGTAGTTCTGTCAGACTTCTCTTTTGAAATGTTTACTTTTAATTAGTATGCATTTATTTAAATTCAGAAGTTCTAGCTTGTTTTTCCAGTGATAGCATCCAACTCTGCATAACCCGCAGCTAAAAACGTAAGTATGAAATAAAAAAATGTTGACAATGAAATAAGGTTCACTTGCACTTTAAAAAGCAAAAAAAAAAAAAAAAAAAACCCCAAAAAACCCCAACCTAGTTGTATAAAAATGATCAGGAACAGTAATAAGTTTTATGTTTATTTTTTTAACAAAATTAGAAAAATACAAGATGTATGTATGTAGGTAATCCTTGAATTATGACCATTTTTTCAGTGACCTTTCAGAGTTATGGCAATACTGAAAGAAATGGATTTATAACCTGTGCCCAAAGTTGTGGCGGCTGCAATGCCCTCATGATCACGTGATCAAAACTCAGGTTTTTGGCAGGCTATCCCCATTTACAAGTGCGGGGCACTTCAAATCACCCCCACCTGCTTATTTCCCCCCACCTATGTCTTTCTGACTACCCTGCACCCAGCCTTGTGGGGCACCAAGCAGCCCCAGAACCACATACATCCGGGACTGTTTGCCATACCCTGGAAAGCCTCAGCTCTTCCTCCTGTTCCTCAAGGTTATTCCTATTTCTCATCATATACTGAATGATGGGAATATACATATATACATGAAGATGTTCGTCTCTTTTTATGCTACCACTGAAGATTGGTGAAATAATTGTTAAAAATCAGCATCGTGGCTTCCTACCATTCTGAGACAGAACATTAAATAGCTTTAATTAAAAATTACACAATTCATCATTGATAGCATCTAATTTTCATTGACACTGGGTGGCTCACAGCATAAAAACAAAACAAGAAATGTCAGCCCTTCGAGGTAGGCCAGAACAAGAAGCACCAACCATGAGTACAGGTAGTCCTTGCTTAACGATCTGCCACTTAGCAGCTATTTGAAGTTATGATGAACCCCTGAAAAGATACCTAGGACCCGATTCAAGATTTCCAATGGTGGCACACACACATACACACACACACACCACTGGTTATATGACGGCATTTTGGGTGCCTTGTCAACCAACTTATTCTTAACACCCAGTTGCAGCATTCCATGGTCACACGAGATTGGCTCGCTTTATGCCTGCCGCAAAAAAATAATGTTGTAAAATCAGGCGAATTACACGGGTGCCTTGATTTACAACCGTCATGAATTAAGATGTAAATTATGGGCCCGATTCTAGTTCTAAGTCAAGGGTTACCTGTATTAACATTACTTTTATCGTAAGATCACAGGAACAGAATCTTGTAAGTTTGAAAGCCCCTTTTCCCTTCTTTACTTTTATTTTTCAGAAAACTAGGGAGGGTCACTTGTGAGATGCTTTCCTTGCCTCCTCCTGTGGGCTGAAATACCTTTTGCTTGATGGTTGCTTAGACTGCAACTTTTCCTCTTATCTCCCAAGGTCATTCCGGAATACCATTATTCAAAAATACAATAAAAAGACTGATAAAAAGGTGCCCAATCCAGTTAACGCCACAAACATACCGGTATTATACATGCATAAATGACGTTGACCACCATAGCCCAACACCTGGAACAAGAACTGGATTTTAAAGGCCCTCTGGAAAACCATCACTCAATCCGTCAAGCTGCAGCTTCTTTACCACCATATCATATCCTACGCACATACTATAAGGTGGCCCCTTAACTCTGTGTAATCATCAGGTCTCATCTGTTCCTTCTCACCTTCTGAAAAACACTCTGTGATTCTCCCACCAAAGTTTGTGACTGAGAAAACACTTGTACGTTTGCCATAAATATTTTTCCCGCATGGGATTGCTATGCCTACGGAATAAAATTAGGACTCTGTTATTACTATGGATAGTTCTTGACTTAACAACCATTTTGTTTAGTGACCAAAGTTACAGTGGCACTGAAAAAGTAACTTACAACCATTTTCATACTTATGTCCATTGCAGCATCCCCACGGTCACGTGATCAAAATTCAGATGCTTGGCAACTGGCATGTATTTGTGACGGTTGCAGCGTCCCCAGGGGTCACGTGATCCCCTTTTGCGACCTTCTGGCAAGCAAAGTCAATGAATGGGGAAGCCCAATTCATTTAACAACCTATGTTACTAACTTAACCACTGCAGTGATTCACTTAACCACTCTGGCAAGAAAGGTTGTAAAATGGAGCAAAACTCACTTAACAACTGTCCTGCTTAGCAACAGAAATTTTAGGCTCTATTGTGATCGTAAGTTGAGGACTACCTGTATAATATAGTAGATGTTTATTTTTTAATTTCCAGATTGGCAAACTAACAGAAATATTGTCCCCAATCCCAAAGTTAGGATAACACCATTCTTTGTTTTTGTTAAATAATTCCAGTGTTTTTTTTTTAAATTGCATGATCACATTATAAACAATCGCATATATAAATAGATCAATCCACCACTAAGTATAAATGACCAACTTAGCTGTATGGACTTTCTTAGTATCTTTACGTGCACTTGAAAAGAGGCTACTATAATATTAAAGGACTATTTAACAGCAATACCGGTATATAATGATGAGTCTAATTTTTCTCTTTCTGGGAACACTACATCTTGCCCAGTACTTATTTATTTATTTGCACCCCAATTTTTGTTCTAGGAACTTATGTGGCTTTTCATGGGGCTCGCCCCTTGTTTTGTAACAACAAGCATATGAAGTAGGTTGGACAGAGGAACCAATGTTATATGTAGAAGCTCTGTTGAGTGGGGATTTGAACCTAAATCTCTCCCACTCTAGTTCACCACCTTAACCCTAATATTAGATTGGTTCTGAGGTTTTAATAATAATATAGTCTCCCAGGTTTTCTTCTAGAGAGGTTCCACAATCCAGTTTTCTATGTGCTGCAGTGATCGGATCCAACTTCTAGTAATATGCATGTGTACGCCCACGAGAAAAAGCATGATTGTGCCAGGAGGGAATATTAGCAAAGATTCAAAGGTCTCTGTGGCTTTCCCAGGTACTCAACTATGCACAATTGAGCTTCCGATGCATTAACAAAACCAAGGATTCTTTGCTTGCAACATGCACTATTTATGTGGAACTGGTTTCTGTGTTTATTCTCTCAATTTTCCTTTGTATTCTCTGAATGTGTTTCAAGTTTGTTGTTTTATAGTGCCACAGTATCTTTCTCCTAATTCTGTGTGTCCTTTTATTTCTCCTAGAGGAAATACAAAGCTTGAGGAAGCATGTGAAATGTACACAAGAGCTGCAAATATGTTCAAGATAGCCAAAAACTGGAGTGGTATATATAGACATTTTTATCTTCTTTATAAATATAAAGGACATGTTCACCTGTAGATCAATACAACAGGGATGGAGGGTATTGTAACTCTTCAGATATGGCTTGACTTCAATTCCCAACAATCTTCAAGACTGGCCATGCTGATTGGAGCTACTGAGAATTGGGCTATAGGTCCCTCAGCCTTCCCGTTAGAAAAATCAGATGCCGTTGCAATAGCTGAGGGGGTTTAATCCAAAGTCATTGTCCTGAAATAGCATGCTTCAATTGCACATAGAAGTGATCACAAGCTGGGGATTTAGCTGCTTTATCTGATATTTCAAGTTGTGACTCACTAACGCTGAATTTTAAAGCCCATCCATCTCTGCATAAAGTAGATTGCCTTTCTCTGTTCTTCATTGATAACCCAATCCCCTTTCCCCTCCAAAACGAAATAGAGTGATTCATTCTTCCTCAGAAATTATTATGGATACCGTATTTTTGACTCCCTGGTATACAAATTGAGGAGTGACATTTTCACCATTAGTTTGTTTTAAGTAAATGTATAGGAAAATTGGTTTTATTACTGTTAATGTCATTTAACAGCTCTCCTTTTGGTTGTCTTTATGAACTCGTAATATATTTCTGAAGGTTTGTTATAGAATCATTAACATGTCTCCCTAACAATAGAAGTCTCTGTTTCATCCAAATCAGTGATTCTCAACTAGCAAACCACAGCATAAAGCTTTGCCATGGATTGGTTTGTAGTGCCACAAAGAAAAAAAAGATCTTTTTTCTATTTTTTGTAATATATATATATTACGAAGCACGAAGCTGAAAACACCAGCCTGAAGATGATGAATGGGACTTCGTCAAAACGTTGCCAAGATACTTCCAATTTTACGCGGAAGAAAACCCAAATAACCAAAGACCTACATACAAACACCCGCGAAAACCTCAGAAAACATATATATTTATATATATATATATATATATATATATATATATATATATATATATATATATATATATATATATACACTGCATTATCCACATATTCAATACAATGCAGATTTTTTAAAAAGTTTAACTTGTTAACCATGCCTTACATGTTTAAAAATACGTATTAATAATTTCCTAGTGTGCTACAGAATCTACTGTTCTATTTGATATTAAGCTATGGATTCATAAAAGTTGAGAGCCATTGATCTAAATAATGGAATCTCCACATAGCCAAACCACAGCTTACTTTCATCCACTGAAAATTCTGGCTGAAAGGTAAATAAATAAATAAATAAATAAATAAATAAATAAATAATGCTTACTGACTACTGGAGAGACCAAACAGGCCTACAAGAAAGACCAAATGAAGAACAGAATAGAGGCAGGGGAAGACAAAGCACTACATGGCCAATACATTAAAAAATAGCTGGGAAAGCAGATAATAACAAGACCTGGCAATGGCTAAGAGCAGGAAAATTGAAGAAAGAGACCGAGGGACTAATTCTGGCTGCACAAGACCAAGCCTTAAGGACAAATGCATATAAAGTCAAAATTGAGAAGACAGCAACAGACAGTAAGTGCCGCCTATGCAAAGAAGCTGAAGAAACAGTGGACCACCTGGTAAGCTGTTGCAAGAAGATTGCACAGACTGACTACAAGCAGCGGCATGACAAAGTAGCAACAATGGTGCATTGGAAGATCTGCAAAAAATATCATTTGCCTGTAAGCAAAAACTGGTGGGATCATAAAATAGAGAAAGTCATAGAAAATGATAAAATTAAACTGCTCTGGGACTTCAGAATTCAAAAAGACAAGCACCTGCAACATAACACCCCAGACTTAACAATTGTCGATAAGAAAGACAAAAAAGTCTGGATAGTGGACGTGGCAGTGCCTGGAGACAGCAGAATAGACGAGAAAGAACTGGAGAAGATAACAAAATACAAAGACCTACAAATAGAAATAGAAAGACTGTGGCAAAAGCAAGCAAGGGTAGTACCAATAGTCATAGGTTCCTTGGGTGCAATCCCAAAACAACTGGAGCACCACTTGAACACCACTGGCATTGACAAATTCGCTATTAGTCAATTGCAAAAGGCGGCCTTACGAGGAACTGCTTCCATCCTGCGACGATATCTGTAATACCATTAAATATCCACATCTGCCTGGGTCCTGGGTAAGGACTCGATAGGTAGACAAAAAGCCAAATCCAGTCTGAACATCTGGCTGACTGTGCGATGATTAATAATAATAATAATAATAATAAAAAAGTTGGAAGGGACCTTGGAGGTCATCTGGTCCAACCCCCCGCTCAGGCAGGAAACTCTATACCATTTCAGACAAATGGCCGTCCAGTCTTTTCTTAAAAACTTCCAGTGTTGGAGCATTCACCACTTCTGGAGGCAGGTTGTTCCACTGTTTAATTGTTCTAACTGTCAGGAAGTTTCCCCTTAGTTCTAGGTTACTTCTCTCCTTGATTAGTTTCCACCCGTTGCTCCTTGTCCTGCCTTCAGGCGCTTTGGAGAATAGGTTGACTCCCTCTTCTTTGTGGCAGCCCCTGAGATATTGGAATACTGCTATCATGTCCCCCCCTCGTCCTTCTCTTCATTAAACTAGACATACCCAATTCCAGCATCCGTTCCTTATATGCTTTAGCCTCCAGTCCCCTAATCATCTTTGTTGCTCTTCTCTGTACTCTTTCTAGAATCTCAACATCTTTTTTTATCTGATTTCCTTCCACTTGGCTAGAGCAACTGATAATCTCAAGAGAGAGGGTTTAAAGCACTGTGGCTGAATTGAGCAGCCATGTGGCTGAAGCAGGTAGGGAAACATGGAAATAATGTAAGGCTCCTTTTCTTTGTTAAAAGAAGCAACACCCCAAGGAAAGCACCCCTTGGTAGATTTTCAGCAGCAGTTCTTTAAATTCTTTTTGAGAGAGAATTGGGGGAAGTGCTTGTTTTTGAGTCAAATGGCTACTTTTGATGTCAAAATGCTGCCCTGTTTCTCTTTCAGCTGCAGGGAATGCCTTTTGTCAGGCAGCAAAACTCCACATGCAACTGCAGAGTAAACATGATTCAGCCACCTGTTTCGTTGATGCGGGGAACGCTTACAAAAAAGCAGATCCTCAAGGTAAGGTGAATTGGGGGCAGAGTGGTTCCTCATGGTTTTTCTTCTTGGTTAAGCAAAATAGATAGGAATATCACTGATTATAAGGCTGTAGTAAAAGAAATAAAGCTCCAGCCAAAAACGACAAGCTTTCTATTGTTCAGATCAACATAAATAATCCTGAAAGCATCTAGGGAGCTTTGAGATCAGTGGAGTACTGTATCAATACTGATTCACACAACTATTATATGCAGTTGTTTATTAGCCATGGTGGGATAACGGTGTGAGTGTAAATATATGTATAATGTAGTATATGTCTTCCCAATTTTCTCTCATTTTGAATATGATTAAAAAAAATTAAATGATTTTTCCCCCTCTTAAACTAAATCTTTTTGGCTAAGGTACACCTAAATGTGTTGCTGATCATTAACTTTGTCCTGCATATATATATATATTAATTTGGTACAAACGTTAATTTGGACATAAAATTATTATGCACACTTCAAGAGAATACAGATAATCCTTGACATATGATTGGTTGCTTAGTGACTATTTGAAGTTCCATCAGACCTACCAGGGGAAGCACTTATGAATTCAAAGTTCTATAGTCATTCCCCCCCCCCCATAGTCACGTGACCATACTTCAGTCACTTGGCAACAAGGTACATTTATAGCCATTTGCAGTGTCCTCCAGTCACATGACTGCGTTTCATGATGTCTTTGCTGAAAACCGGCATTTCAGCAAAACCGCACCATAGTGAACCGTTGGTCTGCTTAATACAGTTCATTTGACTGTGGTGTTCCTTTACTGACCATTACAAAAAAGATCATAAAATCAGTTTTAACACTGTCATGAGTTACAACCATTATGGGCAGACTCCATTATGGTCATAACTCACTTGTGGTATACTAGGCTTTAGAGTCGTTCTTGCCTTGGAATTTCAAGAGCTGTAGTGGCAAAAGATAGAGGGCAACAGGTTGGACAAAGCTGTCTAATGTCCGTGTCTCTTATTTATATTAAGGTTCTAATCTGAACTGGATTTACACATGATGACTACTTTTCGTTGTCCAGTCCAGTATCTGTTTTCTCTTTGTTCTGACTATGGAATAGAGCATACTCACAGTTATAGAATAACAACAACAATAAAACTTGATACCCTTCAAAAAGATCTAAAAAAGACACAGCAGACAAAATCACAATGAATGAATTATCACATGCTAAACTTTCTGCATGTGCTTTAAGAAGAGCCATACACGCATATCTTCAATTTAAAGATAGGACTTTTTTTTACATAGCAGTTCTGATGGAGAGACTCAAGTGCTGGAAGACAGACGTCAAATTCCTGTATATGTCTCTAGTCGTGGGAATGGAGATCTCAGGCCCCTTTGAGTTAACCAAGCAGTCCTTTCCAATGAACTGCAGGTAGTCCTTGACTTACGATCATAACTGAGACTGAATTATGGTCATCAGTCATTGCGGTCATTAAGTGGGTAACTTATCAGGTGCAAAATACCAGGTCCACATGTGAAAGTTCAATTAGGCTGATTTATTACTAAAAGCCTAGGCATATGAATCTTCTCAACTAACTGTCAGCATCTGGTTATAGTTAGATAAGGGACAATGGCACTCAAAGGGACTTAGACTTTGCATAGGGATTCTTGGCTGATCTCTCCTTTTCACTCTGTCCCAGATTTTGCCATTCCTTCTTTCTTTTTTCGAGAATTAACACTGAAAACTGGCAAAAAATGTTGAAAATTACGATGGCCGTAAAGATGAGCCAGTTTCCAACTACCCAAAACGCGTTCATGTGGCTGCGGGGGGACCACCCAAACTTTGAAATTGGCTTGTAAGTCCCTTTTGGGAGGTCTGTCACAATTTCAAACAGTTGCTAAGCAACTGGTCATTAAGCAAGGACCACCTGTATACAGGGAAACTCTAGAAACCAGAAATCTGTATCACCCTAGAGCAGTGTTTCTCAACCTTGACCATTTTAAGGCATGTGGACTTCAACTCCCAGAATTCCACAGCCAGCATTGCTGGCTGTGGAATTCTGGGAGTTGAAGTCCACATGCCTTAAAATGGTCAAGGTTGAGAAACACTGCCCTAGAGTATCAATTCCTTAAAGGCATTACTGTATATAGAAGCAAGAGCAGAGCAGAGCAGGTAAAAGGTAGGCCTGGATCTGACTGTTGACTTCTCTATGATTTGCAGTGAACGGGGCAGTAAAGCTTTCTCACTTCACAGTTTTTGTCTTTCTGTTGCCCAAAACTAAGCTACTGAAATGAAGAGAGGTAGGGATAACTAGGAATGTTTTTTGTGTAGAAAGACTATGAGATTTATTCTTCCTCAGCATTCAAACCAGAGCTTTGAATACACAATTCTTTAACCTCTGGTGTATGTTTTTGCATCACTTGGTGGACTCTGAGGCTTCACCGTATATGAATGAGTGTCATATACATTTGCCGCCTGCATTGCTGGCAGGAAAAGATGAAGAGGTTTTGTCTTCAGCTGATTTTGCATGGAGAAATAGCTGTGAATGTGCTGATGCAAACTGTCCACTTTCTTGCGCTGATAAAATGATTACATTTGGATGCCTCAGTTGACTGTGTTCATTGTTTTCCTCCAAATGCATCCAATGCAGAGGCTATCAACTGCTTAAATGCTGCCATCGATATTTACACAGACATGGTAAGACACCTGAAGTGCTAGGTTGGGTTTCCAATTTACAATCTTTCCTATTGGTGTTGTCATTAATTCAAATTGTGTTCAGTTTGTATTTGGTGTTGACCCCCTTTCACACTGGGCCAAATTCTTCTCTTCTCAGGGCCGATTTACTATTGCTGCCAAACATTACATTACTATTGCAGAGATTTATGAATCTGAGCTGGTAGACATTGAAAAGGTAAGCCAGTGTATTGATCCGAAAGGATTTGGGTGTCATTCCTAGGCATACCTCACTGAAGTCCCATTAAATTTGGAAGAATTGAGGAAGCCCATCAATTCGTATTTCATGACTACCGTCCCAAGTTTGTTTCTTTCCCTAAGTGAAAGGCCCTGGTGATCCCAGAGCATCACTTTTGAATTTAACTCATCAATTCTCTCACTGTATGGATGTATAGTAAAGGACATATGAAAGGAATATTCATATGGGTATATGTGAAAAGTTTCCCATCTGTTTTGAAAAACAACATCTTGATCAAGCATTTACCATCTGTAAACTTGGATAGTGTTAGCATCTTAACATCTTAAAAGTGGCATCGACAGGTTTTATCTCATTCCTGTGATGGCTGGGCAATACTGTGAAAATGATGTAAATCCCTAAAAGAATAAGGAAATGGCCTGAATCTGTCTAATCCGGTGTTTCTCAACCTTGACAATTTTAAGGCATGTGGACTTCAACTCCCAGAATTCCACAGCCAGCATTGCTGGCTGTGGAATTCTGGGAGTTGAAGTCCACATGCCTTAAAATTGTCAAGGTTGAGAAACACTGGTCTAATCTATCAGCACAATGTCGAAGTATAATGTTGAATGTGGATATGTTGAATTCTTTTTAGGCCATCGCCCACTATGAACAAGCTGCAGACTATTACAAAGGAGAAGAATCTAATAGGCAAGTTTCCATAAGACATGTTGATTATCTAAATCTTATATTCATTCTGTTTTGTTTCGTATTTTTCTTGTGTGATTGTGACATGAAATTCTATGATTCCCTTACTTAGGCTTTAAAAGGACTTTCAGATCCTAAAACAACTTTTGGTTTGGCATTCTATTTGCATGTGAATTGTGATATTAAAATGCAAAGCTCAGAAATATTATGCTTATGATAATTGAAAATTGGCTAGTGGCAACAGATATATCAGAAGACAGCTTGGTATGAATATCCACAGAATGAATCTTATCTCAAGTAGGTCAGATCGTTTTAGCCAGAATGCAACCTGACAGGTTGATTTTCTTACCTGTGTTTCTGTGCTCTTCAGTTCATTACGTCTTTTGCTTTTAGCTCTGCTAACAAGTGCTTGCTGAAGGTAGCTGGATATGCAGCTCAGTTGGAGCAATATCAGAAAGCAACTGAAATTTTTGAACAGGTAGGTACACTACTACTTGGTTTGTTAGAGAAAAATTATAAATCAGAGGCATTGAGTACAAATTAATCAAAGCAATAACTTTTTTTAAAAAAAAGGTTTTATTAAGGTTTATTATTATAGCAATAAAACACAATGAAAATAAAGATTAAAAAGAGAGAAGTGCAGGATAAAAAATTTTTTAAAAGAGGAGAGAAAAAGATGTTGATTTCTGACTCTTTCCAATACAGTATAACACTAATACATTTACGACCTCAGTTTTTTACAAATACTCATAATTATTACAAGTCAGTTCTATAACTACAAAATTATTAAATCTTCAAATCAACTTCAATCCTAACTCCAATTAACTTATTAAATTTAAGTCACTTCCTCCAGCTTGACTTCATAAAATAAAATCTTTTTCTTCTTCAGAATGTCTATTAAATAAATAAGAACTCCCCCCCCTTTCTCAAGAGATTCTCCAATATGACTTTTAAAGCAAATATGTCAACGTATTTCCATTGTCAATTTCCATTTTGATTTTGGAGTCCCCAAACTTGTTCTCTTGAGAACTGTAGACTTACTTGCAACTCTTCTCCTTTCAATTGCACTGGGGGACTTGTAATTAAACCATCTTCATAGTTGGTGTTAGATTTATATTCCAAAATTACTGTTAAGTCCTTTGCATTGTCAAATACTTGTGCTGTAGCCTTAGTGCTTTGATGTTTCTGCACTTAGTTACATCTTTAGATTACTCACCTTTCTTCCAATTACTTGAGTAATTTGTTCCTCTTGCTCCTCTTTCGTGGTATCTTTGGAACCTACTTGATCTATGAAGTGAACTGTTTTATTTAAATACTCCTCCAAAATAGTTTTTGCAATCTCTGTCTGACTTGGATGCCTTCAATATTGCTTCATCTTCTGTTCCCTAGTTCCCTCTTGTGGTCAAAGAACAATAATAAAAAAGCTTTTTGTAAATTTTTTCCTGACCAATCATTAAAATTGGAAGATTTCAGCCTCCCGTAACAAATGATCCACAATTGCAAACGATAACTCCCAATCTCAAATAAAAATGGCAAATTCGTGAAAATGACAAAATGAAATTGCAACTTTGAAATTGTTATGTTTCTCCATCAAAATTAGAAAGAAAAAGAAATTTTCCAGTTTCCTTATTTTAGCTCCCCTCCAGCAACCTTCTCCCCATCATTCAACAATAACAATGTTCCGAAAATGGCAAAGACCTTCAAAAAGGAGCAACGGGTTGCGACTGAAAATAGCGTCTTTTCGCTTAGTAAAGATAATCAAAGAACATGTTTAAGAAGCGAAAAGCATGACTTATGGTCTGTTTGAAAAACATATTCCAAAACAGCTGCAACAATGAAGTGATTGCAGCCCTATTTCCCAGCTTATGAAAATCTCACCTGGCTGCTTTAGAGCACTGGTTCAGAGTCTCCTTACAGATTGCTGCTGTATGGAAGATTTTGTGGCACAATTCCGGGACTCTTCCTCCACCCAGAAGAATCGTATTAATGTAAGAAGCTCAATTCCCTGTTTTTAAGTTGAAAAAGTTTTGGTTTGGAAAGAGCTTTCTGAACTGGTCAGTCCGCCACATTCATTGGAAGCCCAAAGCACTAACCTTGTGCAGTTTGCTGAGTGAAGTGATTGGACTGAGATTGTTTGAATTTAAACCATCAGAGCAGTTTCAGTTTATAACACACATCATTTCAGGGTATACGTGCAAAGACGCATCTGTATTCAAAAAGATTTCTACCCTTGTTTAAGCATGGTTATTGCTTTGGGTAATTGGAGCTGAAGAGGAAAAAGGTTCTTATAGGAAATAAATCCTGAGAGTTATTACTATGCAGTATTTCCAGTATTTAAAACCTTCTGGAATTATTTTAAAATCTCAAAATCCAGTTATTCTTACAAGCTGTTTTAATATCTAGTTTCTAAGCTACTACTATGAATGTAAGTGATGAAGTGATATGAATGCCTGGCTAGGATCGAATGCTTGAAGATTGCTGTTAATTGTTGAGCAAGATTGACTGCTTTTGCCAAGCAATAATGTGCATGAGATTCTATATATGCAAATCCCCATTGTGGAAAAATGTGTTATGAAATTAAAAAGGTATTTACAATATCTGGTCTTAACAGAGAAATTTAAGGAACAATGTGACATTTGGGAACTTTGGAAATGGATTCTTTTGTAGTGGGAAAATATGCATTTCAAATATGAGAACAGGGATTCTCAAGGAACTAAAATATTGTTTTCAACCCTGTTCTGCTTTTTCAAACTTTATCAACAATAAATGTAATTTTTATCGCCCTAGGTTGGTACAAGTACAATGGATAATCCATTGCTCAAGCACAGTGCAAAAGATTACTTCTTTAAAGCAGCTTTATGTCACTTCATTGTCGACGAGTTGAACGCGAAGGTTAGTGCAGTTTTTTAATGTACTACAAATATAGAGATCAGAATGCCATAATATCCCAAGAATAGGCAAACTATTTTATTAGTTAGATACTACCAATAATGCCTACTCTTGTTGCATGAAACATTACAGAAGTTCTGCTTTGTAATCTGAATACCCTTTCTGTGCACATACCCACAATCCCACAAGAATGATAAGAGTGCTTTGTAGATTTGCCATATGACTTAGCTGACCATTTTATTTGCCTGTTAGAACCAGAGTTGTCATTTGCAAATACAGATCCATAGTTTTGAATTCAGTATAAAACAAATTAATTCAAAAACAGTGTTCCATGTTTTCATTATTTCAGACAATAGAGATTGGAATTGGCCACAAGGCCATATTTGCTGAATATGCTGGAAGCCTCATGTTTGGCCATTGCAGATGTTTCTATCACTATTACTTTACTGAATCTTCCAATCTAATACGAATGTGCAATGCAAATAATATTCACATGGTGCTGCATTTTGCAAGAATTGCAGTATATGGCAGGTTGAGAATTAATTTACCTGCTGTGCAGGAGATGTGTGGACAGAACTCAACCTAAACTGTAGATATGGATTTCATAGTATTTTTTCTGAGCTGAAAAAAGCAACTTGATCAGAGGTGACTTTTAGTGGACTAATTGTGGGATGATATGGGCTTAAGCAGTCTCTCTGTAGAGAGTAAGGAAGATGGCTTTGACAGATAAGCGAAGTTTGTTATCAAAGTGATGAGGGGTGAAACATATCTTAAGTCCACAATAGATATATTGTATAGTATTCAGATGGACACCTCCTTAATTCACTGAAACATAAGAAGAAAGAGAATGTTCAGCACAACCAGATCTGCAAGATTCTGTTATTATAGCCACTCTCAATAAAAATAATTTTAGCCTTCTTGTGGATTTGATCTGATTCAACTAGTGTGCCTGACACTCTCTTTCCTGTTATTCCTCGGGTGAAGAACATGTTCCATTTCTGAAAAACATATTGGGAGCCTTTCACCTCTTAAATGTGGTTTAGTGTAATCCTAAAATATCCCAATATGTCACTTTACAAAAAGGAACATATGTGGCCACTCAGATTCATCAAAATATCTGACTTTGCTTTGAACATGACATACATAGAACCATGTATGTTGAATGGCTATTGAGCATGGCAGAGTTGGCTAGTTTTCTGAGAAAACATCTGTTATGAGATAACATCTGTTTGATATGAAGTAAATGCAGCTGCTATTTTTCAGCTGGCTCTTGAGAAATATGAAGAAATGTTCCCAGCATTCACAGATTCAAGAGAATGTAAATTATTGAAAGTAAGTGAAACAGCATGGTTTTTTATTGTGCTGAAAACAGAATTGATGCATGATTGCTAGTCTTAATTAGAAGTATTATATACTTATTAAAAAAATGATGGGGGATTATGGTCACACTGTGAAAAGAGAGGAAGAATGACCATCCCAATTATGTTTAGTTATGTGAAATATATTTCAGGCTACTTTCAGATCCCTGCAAGTTAGGAGGCAGAATATCTCTCATTATTCCACTGAAATTTTTAAAATGGATGGAACCATTTTAAGATGGGGCTTGCAATGAAAAATGTATGAGGAACCTAACTATAGATCAGTGTTTCCCAAACTTGACAATTTTAAGACATGTGGACTTCAACTCCCAGAATTCCACAGCCAGAACGCTGGCTGTGGAATTCTGGGAGTTGAAGTCCACATGCCTTAAAATTGTCAAGTTTGGGAAACACTGCTATAGATATGTTTAGCCTGGAGAAGACATATCTGCGGAGAGGAAATATAACTGTCCCAACTATCTGAAACATTGTCATAGAGAAAGCAGGACAAACTTTCTTCAGAAGATAGGTTAAAAGAAGTTTGGTTGAACATGGAGAAATATTAAAGAGCTATTTCATAATAAAAGAGACTGTCTTAGAGCTGTTGATCTTACCTTTGCTGGATAGCCATCTCTCAAGGATGCTGTAATTATGGATTCCCATATTGAGCCAAGGATGCTATTAAAGGTTCTCCAACTCTTCCATTCTATGATTTTGAGTTCCTCATCTCTTTAGGTCTTTTGTAGTTTCCAAGCTATATTGTGTTCTTGTTTAATTTCCTTATATTAAAGGAACTTTAATATACTGGGCTACTGTATAATTCCTGGTAAGAAAGCACCTGAAGAAGCATTTTTAGAAAACAAAAATATCAATGTTGTGTTTCCCTTCTTGCCATTTCCGTTGCTGGGGCAGCTTCTTCCAAGTTTCATCCTCCTTCATTGATATGGAATCAATGCGTGCTGTAGTGGAGTTGACCTCAAGAAGAATTTGACATTCTTGAATATTTTTCTTAAAACTCTGAGTTGGCACTGCTCATATCTTAGTCTGCCCCATGCTTATCTGTAAATCTACTGTGGGGACCTCAGTATGATGTAGGTACTTTGTGGGGCCTCCCTTCATGCTGGAATCTTGGTCTCTGTCCACAATGAAATCTACAGTCAGTTGGGATCTCGGAACAGTGTGGTCTTCCCCATTCCACTGCCTATAACTATACCATTATGAGGTCAAAGTCTCTGAATACAATATATATGTGGGAGTAAGCACTTTAGCAAGATATCTTTCAGATTCAGTGGTCTGAATAGGAATGAAATAAAAAGAATTGGATATTAATGGCTTTTTTTGGTTGCAGTAGATATTTTATAAAATATATCTTCAGATAATGCATAGTCTTTTTTCACTTGTAGAGAATATAGAGTTCTTTCACACATCCATCCTTCATTAAAAATTGTAGTAAAAAGATCACTTTTGCTGGTAATCTTGTTATATTGTCTTGCTAGAAATTACTGGAAGCTCATGAGGAACAAAATTGTGAAGCATACACTGAAGCAGTAAGTAGATCTCTATTTTAATTAAATGTTTGAACAGTTTCAGATCAGAAAAATGTCAACTTTTTGTTTCGTGAGCATTTTTGAACCACAACTGGGCTCTGGTGCAATCAAGCACAGAGGCATCAATTACAGTCCAAACTTATGCATGTCTAGTTGGAATTCAGTAGGTCTTAGTTAAATGGGTATCAGATGCACCCTCAATAAACAACCTTTTGTTTCCACTGAAAGCAATTGGCTTTGAAATTATGACTAACTCGTTTCACTGATTTCAAGGGAGCTAATTTGATTTGAATCCAACTCATTTGACTTGTAGAACTTGAAGTGAGAGGTTTATGTAAATGTTTTGATGATGATATTATCACAGTCTGCCTTGTTATTTAAATTTTCTTTTTTTTAAACAATTTTATTAATTTTCTGTTATTACAAGTCATACATGCTTAGTAAACCACGTATTGTCTGGGTCCATTTGTTACTCAGTAATGCATATTAACTTCCTCAACATAGATCTATCCAATATTATCCCGTCCAGTGTTTTCTTGATCCTCTCTTCTTCCAAAGGTGTTCTCATTTTCCCAACACAAGTAAATACAAATCTTACTATTAATACAGTTAAGTATACACATTCTTGTCATAATTTTCTAACATTATACATAATAAAAATAGTATCAGTTTGTAACATCTCTTCTAACCCACTCATTTCTTAGTTTTATTTGCAATTAAATTTCCCTTGTTAAGTCAATATCCTGATTTTAGCTTTAATTTTCCCTCAGTATTCAAAGTGTCTTTCTCAGTTATAATTTTCTCAATATTATAACTTATACAAACCATCCTAGTATTTTCATATTTCCCCTATCATAATTTTAAATCATATCTTTCTAATCATAAAAATCTTTTGGTATCGAGAGGTTATCTGTTCTTTTAGCCATATTTAAACACAGGTTTATTCATATATGTCCCATCTGGTAAGTCAGATCTTCTGTTTTCTTCAGTCTAACTCTGGCTTTCTTCTTTTACCAAATAACTTTCCAAGTCAATGTATTTAAGTCACCAAAGGATTCTTCCTTTGTTTTTATGGATATTGTCTGAAATAGGAAAGACAATTTAGGTAAAGTATTTTTGAGGGAGAGTTCAACCCATTTATATTCATTAAACAACTCCCACTTTCCTTCTCCTTCAGATTCTCTTTTAATTTCTTGTTTTCCAATTTCTAACATTTCACCTAACAGTTCTATAGTCCATTCAAAAAGATCTTATTCCTTATTCTTAGGTATATTTTGAGGTTTTAAGAAATAGGATATCTTTTGCATTTCCGGTGTTATGGTTAAGTCTTCCAGCTTTTATTTGCATGTGCTAGTCTGTAATTTCCATCCTTAGTTTATATCAGTGTTTCTCAACCTTGACAATTTTAAGGCATGTGGACTTCAACACCCAGAATTCCACAGCCAGCATTGCTGACTGTGGAATTCTGGGAGTTGAAGTCCACATGCCTTAAAATTGTCAAGGTTGAGAAACACTGGTTTATATCCTCCATCTTTGGGTCAATTTCCTCTGATTTGTCTTCTGTTTTCTGACTTGCTTGTTCATTCTTTATAGAATGAATAGTCGTTATAGTTTACTAGTTGTAGGTTTAAGTTAAAGACTTGCTCATTTATATTATCAAACTTTTTAGTCTTATCATAGTTTCTTCTTGAGTCTTCTTTATATGAGATAATTGCCTCTTGAATTGATTGCAGCATAGACTGCATTTCCTCCTGAAAAATATTGGCTTTTTCTTGTTGGACCATCACTCTTACGGTTCCCTGATATGCCGGGCCGGGGGTTTCAGAGGAAGATATTGGGGGTGGTTATTTCCCACGTTCAGCTAGGTATGAATCACCCATTTTGTCACCCCCTTCCAGATATACTATTGTATTCCCCAAGTATTGGCCTTAACTGACACAACCAATCTTAAAATCAATATAGCAATACAGCAGTATCTCATAAAGTTCTTATAGTCTTTACATGTAGCTTTTATAATCCAATAGGTCCCAAAATATAGGTCCATCATTAAAGGTAATATTTTGTAACAGTTCTTCTGTTCAGGAGTTCAAAAATTATCAGTCAACCGATGTTTGTAATCCAAAATATTCAACCACCCTGAAAAACAGTCCACAAGTCTCTCCCAGACAAAAGTAGCCAAAGATCAAATTTTCCTTTCACTCCAAATACTTCTAAAAGTTAAAAATTAGACTTCAGTCAATATTTGTAATCCAGGAAGGTCAGCATGTTTCAGAACAATTAAGGCTCCCACCCTGTAGAAAATAGCCCAAAGTGTTTTTCTTTGTTGCCAGCTGCTCTCTGTTGAAATAAGAATAATCAAACATCAAAGAAGCTCAACAGTTATCTAAGTCTGGGTATTCTGCCAAATTCACTCTACCCATAACAACTATGGTGCTTTATTCCATCACTAGATGTCATTAAATATCCATTTCCCAACTCTTAAAATGAGAAGTTAATTTCTTGTACTTCACCCCAATATTCTTTCAAAGACAAAATCTTGTTTCTCAGTTTTCAAGTTCATCAAGACTATAGCTTTGTATTACTTCCATTTTGATGTTATGTATTTATGTCCCCATAAAGAATTAAAACACCGCTTCCGTTTCTCTGGAAGGGTGGGGCTGCAATCCTCTTCCTTCTCATGTTTGGTTTTTTTTTTTTTCCCCTTCTTGGGAATTTATCTTTTCCAGGAAATCCAATTGCAAAGTAGTAAAGAAAGGATCAATATTCTCACCCAGTTCCAAGCATGCTGTTCACAATCTGCTAATTAGTGCTTTCTTTGTTCAGTTGTCAATAGCTTGGACTGGCCACAGGAATGCAGCCAGTCTTTCCCTTGCCAGTTTGGAGGGCTTTCCTCAGATCAAACAGATCGACCGCCGTCTCTCCGTAATTGATGAAAATCCTCTCCTTCTTCATCACCTCTCTGGAGCGACTTTAGACCCCTTTAGGGCTCCCTGGCAGGGTGAAATTAGCCACGGGGGAGCAGAGCTCCATTTTCCCTCGGCTGCAGCACCACGACGCAAACCAGAAGTCTATTTAAATTTTTGTTAATAAATTAAATAAATGATGTCAATGCTAAAGTAGGGCCAGGCATGTTGGGGGATACATTTCCAATAGCTGCCTTATTTCATGGAAAATTCATTGTGTCAAAATTCTCCTCTGTCTTTTCTGAGTGGAATATGTATATTTTCTGATTATAATGGGTTATCTGATTAATTTCTGGGCTATCTAGAGTCGAATGGGGAGAAGTAATGGGGATTGTGTGAGTGATTGCCAGGAATCAGAAGCATAATTCATTTACAGCCTCAGAGGGAAACAGCCTTCCAAATAAACACACAGTTAGTCTGCAGTGGTATTTGTCAGCCTGCTAGTGGCTGAGAGGAGAAAGCTGGAAAACTAATTCTGTTCTTCCTCAAATAGTCCATTGTTCTTCTTTGGTGCTTTATATTCTAGGTAGACGTAAGAACAGATATAATACTCTCTCTCTCTCTTCCCCTAGCAAGGAATTCTTCTACCAAGGGGGAGGTTAAAAGGAAGCTAAAAAACTTGGCTCACTTGCAGTTTTTATCACCCCAGATTCTTAAAGCTGCTCAGATGAGTGGGTTGGTGATGTTGAATAGTTTTGCAATATGTACAGTTATTCTTTTCTATTTGCTTCTAATTTTGGATAACAGAACGATGGTTGTATATTTATAGTTTCCCTCTTGGGCAAAGTTCTTAAAATCACAAAAAAAGAAAATGTTAATTCTGTGCTGATGCTACATCACCTGATTATTTACCTCTAACTAGGTTAAAGAATTTGATTCAATATCCCGCTTGGATCAATGGCTCACAACCATGTTACTCCGCATTAAAAAGTCAATTCAAGGAGACAGCGACGGGGACCTAAAGTGAACTGTCTGTGCAGTGTGTGGCATTGTGATTTGTCTGTTGAAATATCTTGTGTCATAGCCAAGGATCATTATGGAATATATGATCAATGCTTTTTGCTTAATTGACTGGTATCTTGTTTAATATCCTGTTGTGGCTCATTCATTGTAACTGTGAACATGAATTTATATTGTTTTTCACTTCTCAAGGGAGAGCTTATGGATTGATCCTATGCATGTTTACTCAGAAAGGCAAGTCCCACTAAATCCATGGATCTTCCTCCCTCATAAATGAGCATAGGATTGTGTAAGTTAACCCTGAAATAAGTTCTCTTGAAGCCATATTCAAACCAGTCAGTCAGCTGACACTAAATTATATTCTCGTGATATGGGACTCCACACCTCTTGTCCTAGAAATAGTGTTTTTCAGCATTATTTATTACAGGATCATCACAAAGGATACAGCTTATTGAATATTTTAAAATATTAACCAATGTTACGTTGTTTACGTGTGATTTGCACTACCACAGATATAACACAATGAATATGAGTCACAACACTGAATAGCACTGAGATGGTAACCAAACTACAAGTTATCCTTGCAATGCAATCCCAAGCATGATTCAGTGGAACAAGATTGTGTGAAGCTTCAGTGATGTTTCATAATTAAGACTAAGCCCCAAAGGGTGGCTTCAAGGGATCAATTTCTAGCCCCTTTCACCCACTTCTGCAGATGCCTTCCCTGGTAGTCACCTAACTCCTGCCCCCCTGGACATTTCCTGGCCATCAGAATTAGTGTCATTGAGGGACTCTTCAAAGTGACACATTGCAGGATGGCTGTGTCATCTGCTCACAGCAGCAGTGATTGTAGCCCACTCAGTGCCCTGATCTGAAGGATGTTTCAGAAGCGGTGTTTGCACAGTGATCAGCTGGAGAACAAGACCTGTGTGATTTAAGTGTGGTGAAGTGACTGCATCAACAGGGAGTCACAAAGTGACTGGGCTCCAACTTGCTGCCCGATTCATTCCTTTGTCTGAAGTAGACTTTCACAGTGGGACTGGAGTTAGCCCATTTTGGGCAAAGATGCTTTGGGTTGCATTATAAAGACAACTTGATTTCTAGAGGGTATCCTCAACAATGTTTAAATTATAACTTTGTGTTTATTTTGATAACAAGAATGTATCAGAAAAGATTATTGTATACTATAGTTATTACTTGAGGCTAGTGAGAATGGCAGAGTTCTTGAAACTGGATCAGAAGGTCTGGGACAGTCTGATCCGTCGTCTGTAACAAACAAGAGAATAGATTGGAATTTATGTGAATTAATCAGTTGTAGCTCACTCTCTTTTGGAGCTGCAAAAATTTTGATCAGGGTACGTGTGAATATATGATCTGGAAACTGGAATTATATAATTCATTTAAAAAGAAAAATGAAAAGATTTTTTCCCCCAGAAATACTCATTCCTCTCCCCCTCTTGCTGGGATAAACCTTTAATCTATGAGAGTGTATATTTTATTTGTGATAAATGACAAAGCAAATTGTTGGATCAGATACTATTCATACTGTTCACTTTCTGTCAATATGAATCTATGTGTGATTGTTTCAATAGTTGCTGGTAAAAATGCCATCTACACACATGGGTAGGTATGTATTCAGTAGGTATATGAAACTACACCAGCAGTCTGGGTCTGAAATAAATAACAGTGTAGGAAGTGTCCAAATTGTTTTTCTCATGTCTGGTTCACACAGAATGAAGTGACGGATGCTTGATATGATAATTTTGACTACCACAGCAGATGAGAAGACCATACATATTAACATTCCTTTACATACGGATTCTCTCAAAGGGAAAATCAGCACAGCACAACAATATAGATAATCTTTCTTTCCACTGGTCTTGAATTTTGCTTTTTGCTTCTACAATGGCATCTCACCCTTAAAGTATAAAGACAAACAGGTTATTCTATCTACCTTCTTTTTCTGCTTTATCAGACCTTTGACCTAGCTTCTCGTGTATTTTACAAAGGTGTGTGTGTGTGTGTGTGTGTGTGAGAGAGAGAGAGAGAGAGAGAGAGAGAGAGAGAATGAATTTCATTTTCAGCTCTGTAGGTGACAGTCATCTCAAGAAGTCTTCACTGTGGTTCTGTAAGGACAGAATAAGCATATTCTTATCGTTGGCTGTCTCATGTTGTTGCTGCTCCTCAACATTGTTGAAAAAACCAGTAACAAGCTGCTCTACTCTCAACTTTAACAATATTTGTACTCTTAACTTCCATTCAACTTATGCTTTTGGCCAGGAGAGTATTTTACTAGTATTTCTCAGATGGCATTGGCAATAAAGCATAGATGTTAGAAGGAACACAGGCAGCCAATGGATAATAGATGTGGGAGGTAAGACATATATTTATGATATGACTGCCGTACAGGTATATCTTGGGGCTTAGTCTGCTGCAACCCATTCAAATGAAGTGAGTCTCGATCTAAAGAGGGTTCCAGTAGAAGATCATTAGACAAAGTGTCCTCCCTAGCATTGTAGTAGAAAGAAGATTGACCTATACCTAATTTTTTAGCTTTATACTTGGCACACAAACGTATGTATTATTTAATTAAGCTATAATAACAGAATTGGAAGGGACTTTGGAGGTCTTCTAGTCCAACCCCCTGCTCAGGCAGGAAACCCTATACCATTTCAGACAAATGGCTGTCCAGTCTCTTCTTAAAAACTTCCGGTGTTGGAGCATTCACAGCTTCTGGAGGCAGGTCGTTCCACTGATTAATTATTCTGCCAGAAATTTCTCCTTAGTTTTAGGTTTGTTCTCTCTTTGATTAGTTTCCATCCATTGCTTCTTATCCTGCCATCAGGTGTTTTGGAAAATAGGTTGACCCCCTCTTCTTTGTGGCAGACCCTTAGATACTAGAACACTGCCATCATGTCACCCCTAGGCCTTTTCATTAAATTAGACATACCCAATTCCTGCAACGGTTCTTCATGTTTTAGCCTCCAGTTCCCTAATCATCTTTGTTGCTCTTCTCTGCACTCTTTCTGGAGTCTCAACATCTTTTTTACACTGTGGCAACCAAAACTGGATGCAATATTCCAAGTGTGGTCTTATCAAGGCATTATAAAGTGGTATTAACACTTCGCATAATCTTGATTCTATACCTATTTTAATGCAGCCTAGGACTATATTGGGGGTTTTTTGGCAGCTGCAGCATAACCGTTTACCTGTAAATAGAAGATGGCTGTACTCAGCCAAATTTGCCTGATATTAAAGATCCAAGCAGTGTCGAAGCTGCTTAGTGCTTAGAAGGGAGACCATAGTTATAAACTAGCTTGGGAAGAAACCCAGGAAAAAGGAATAGGAAATTATTTCCTATTCCTTGCCAAATGAAACGTGGAAGTGTTCAGTGGTGATTGAACATTTCTCAACTTTATTGGTATACCTGAAAATTATTTGTAGTACTTTTTATTACTACCACTTTTCTGCACTATGTGTTCACGATGTTCAAACTCATTCACGCCCTTTTGTCAAAATAGTTCATTAGGCAGTCTTCTCAGGCATGAAGGAACCCTAGAGCTATAGAAGGGGCTGAAGTTTGCTTCCCAAGTTAGAGCTCTGGCTTGGAAAGCAAATCCAGTATTAGGCTCTCTCCTTATCACTATCTGTGGTGGGTGGTTTCCAGTGTTGGAAATCCTTTAAGTTGGAAAGGTCTAAAAGCATTATACGATTAGAGTTGGGCTGGAGGGGGGAGGGGGAGCCATCTAGGAATGAGTTTAGAGAGAGATGCAAATGCATCCCTTCACTTCTACTTTGTTGGAACTACATCATTGGGCATGTTGGACTGCCCCAACCTTAACACAAAATTACATTTTATGTCATTTCATCAACTGAAAATGTTTACTCGAAAGCAAAACAGACTCTTTGAGTTCTGCAGGACATCTTTTGGGAATAAATGGCTCTGGTTTCCCAAGATCAATATGAGCAGAAAATCAAGTTTGCATTACTCTCCAGTTTACTGAACAGAACGTCTCCACACTGTGCAGTTTGAACTTTTTTTTCACCAGAATGCCACTCACTTTGTGTGCCACTCACTTGTTTTGAGCGTTTGTGTATATGTGGCTGAGTTGCTTGGACTCACTCCTCCCAAACAACAAATGCCATTTATTTTAAGCTAAAGACAGTTATTTAATGCATGCATGTTTTGTCTGCCAGTAATAAGATATGAGCCACTGTTAGCAATATTTAGGGCCATCGCTTTAGGTTTCAACAAAAAGCTTCACCTGGTAAGTTTTGGAAATATTTCAAATAAAAATCCACTGTTAATGAAATATTCAGTGTTGAAGAGATATTATAGACATGCTTACATTCAGTCACTGACAGACTAGTCACAACATAGTAATACATTGGTAATAAAGTTTAGAAATCTGAAATTTTCCTGGATACACACACAGCAAATTCATTATTGCTTGTTTGTAACATGAGGTATAGAAGTGGCATCACTTGGTCCATTCTCTTGGATTTTTGTCTTAAAAGCTGGAAAATACTACACTCTCTGAACAGCTGTAAGGTTGCAACCACTGGAGTTCTTGGTATCATCTTTAATTGAAGGAGTTGTAATTCAATATACCGATGATTTCATCTGTTTGCATTGCTTATTGTTGGCAGTGTCATTAAACCAGTTTATTACCCACGTGAAGGCAAGGTGTGTTTTTACTAATACTGTATTTTTTTCTCTTCATAAGAAATTGTCAGGCTGGTACAATATTGTTAGTAATACAATTAGCAAATAATTCTGAGAGTTGTGCAGAGGTTCAGATTTGAAGGCCAAAACTGAATTTGGAGCATGCACATGGCATATATCCCAAAAACATAATGCAGCCAGGATTTTCGCCAGATACACGTGGTTGCCCTTTGCAGAGGATACATGAACTTAAGAAAAAGTGTATTTGGTTTAAGATATTTCCTGCAGATGCCAAGTGAGCCCCACATCACATTTTGCCCTTTAATTCCAAGCCTAACATATTATTTTGGTAAATAGAAAAAAAATATTCAATAGTTGAACAATTTATGACCCTAAAAAGGAGTTACTTGTGAGTAGTTTTAAATTAAAGCATTCAACATTTGTAATTGCATTTTCTCTCTTCACAAGTTTTATAGATTTTGAATTAATGAAAAGCCTTTCCTAACACAGTTCTGTAACGGCTTTGTTGTAGCACCTTTTGGCTTAGTGTGCTTTATGAATTAATCAGTAACCATGAGTAAGCAAACTAAACATGAGCAGCCTCAGAGTATTCTAAATCCAGCCAACTGTGTGGTTTATTCAATTACCTTTGCTGAAACTGATCTTAATTTAGCATGAAATAGCACACCAATGTGAACAGATGCCATTTCTACACTTCCAGCACAGAAATTAGTATTTAGCAGGTAGAACTAGGTTCTTTATGTTCCTTTCTAATTATAACAAACTAAAAATTCTCCAGTGTAGCAGTACCTTGCAATACAGTGGCTGGTTTTGCTTTAAGATCTAAGTGGCTGAATTCACACCAAAGAAATCACATTATGGTTTAGCATGCTGTGAAAACACATCCTGTAGTAGAAAGCAGTTCCATTACTTTTGAAGACAAATATGAATGCTTACAGTGCATATAAATTACATTTCCACATAATTCAGCCTTCTGGATCACGATATTTTCCAACAAATGTAATGTCTTTCTCTAAATAAGTAACTTCCAAAAAAGATGGTTTTCTTTAATTTTTTAATAAGGCCAATCAGTTTATATAAGTCCACCTACTTTCACATTTATACAGTATAAAATAATGATCCCTATCTATTGGTACTTAAGGGCTGAAATACATCCTACAAATGTATTGCAATTGGTCATTAAAATGCAAGTCAAAAGGCGCACATGGTATACAAAATAAATATGTAAATATAACCTCTGGATAGTATTTCTAAAAACATTCCTTTTACCAGATTAAATAAAAACAGAATGACATAAATCTCTTACTACAGAGTTTACCTTAAAAAAATTATATCTAGGAACTTTTTATTGCTTTTCCTTCTGAACAAATAAAATATTAGGGCAAAAATTTTAAAAGCTAATATAGCAAAGTTGGCCTAAATTATTATTCTCTATAAAGTGATTTTGAATTCAATGTAAGGAAAGAGGAAATTTTGAGGATACACAACTAAACGAATCAAAAACTTTACCAAAGGATACAACCAATATCCAATTCCAATGCAGGAATAAATCAACTTTGAAAAGTAACAGACTAAAAGGAGCTAGCATATTCTCTGAATCCACAAATGCCTTGACAAAAATGACATCTTGCATGCTAAGATTTCTGTGAAAATTCTGTCCCTTAAAATAAAACAATTGTGCCTCTCTCCAATTTACCACATTCTTTTGTCATAAAGAGTGCAGGACCCAACACACATCACTTGCATGTGTGACAATGTCACGTGAGCGAATTTCCACTTTTGAAATGGGATTCCCCCTACTTTGTTGTCTTCTGCATTTTGTATCTATCTTAAAGATGCTGCATCTTTAAGATTCCCACAATCTTCCAAAGAAAATTTGGGAGTGCATAGGGAATGATAGAAATTACAACTCTTTAACTTACCTTAGTTCCCCAAGGGTAGAAAAACACCAAGATTACCGTAATATGCATGATTTGGAAAGAAACATTCAACATGTTGATGTTCTTTTAGATCTAAGAATGGTTTCTAAATATAAAAATTAAAACCCAGAATACTAGCAAATTCAGGACATAGGTGGAATTTCAGATTCACATAGACTTTGGCACTACTTATTTCCTGATTTTAAAAGTAAAAAGGCACATTACTGATGCTTTTTGAGTTAAAAGTTTTCATTTCTACAACCTGTACGATATAGGAAACTTAACTTTCACCTTTGGAGCAACTATTTTATCTTGGTTACACTGCATGGTCTCCCGAATTATGAGTACTGAAACATAATTGAGTGACTCTTATCTGTTAAAAATCCACAAGTTTTCAAATGGTTCTTCCTATCTAAATTTCTCTATTGCATTGTTTAAAATGTCAAAATACATTGTTAAAAAATGCATTGTTTAAAATTTGCCACAAGAGATGAAGTGTTCCATACAATCATAAATCCAAAGCAGGAAAATTACGTCCAGAATATTTCAGGCGCCACTGCCAGAAATCTGATGACTTTAACTTTCGTAATCCAAAATAGTAATATAATAGGGCAAAGCAAGGTAATTTACAATAAATTATCTCCAACTAGATGTACCATCTTTGAAAAAAAAAACATTTCTAATATCTTCAGGCAATCTGTTCTAAGAGAATCTTGCCAATGAAAGTCATCAAGATATAAAACACTCTTCTCCATATGCAAATTCCAGTAAGTAGAATACAACAGCAACTGGGAAAAAACTTCTGGGGCGAGGACCAAGAATCACAAGCACTACCTTCTAAAGAGAGATTCTGGGCAAAGAACGTAGAGTAGTAAGAAGACCCCTTGAATAGATGCAATTAAGATGAATTTATAAAACAGAGGTGGGGAACTATAAATCTCTAGATCAGTGTTTCTCAACCTTGACAATTTTAAGGCATGTGGACTTCAACTCCCAGAATTCCACAGCCAGCATTACTGGCTGTGGAATTCTGGGAGTTGAAGTCCACATGCCTTAAAATTGTCAAGGTTGAGAAACACTGCTCTAGATGTTGTCAGATAACAATTCTCAGTCTCATTAATAAGAATGCTGGTTGGCACTATGATTTGTAACTTAGCATTATCTCTAGAAAACCGTCAGTTCCTTACCTCCGTAGTAGAGATCACTATCATATGGACAAATCAATAGGAACTGAAGAGAGAGAGAGCTAGCAGGCTTACCTAGGGGGGAATTTAGCCCTACAACAAAGCTGCAATTACAGTGTGTTTAAAAAAAAATGTTTCAAAGTCCCCCCCCCTCCCCCAAGATGTAGTCTGTCATATTGATTACATGAATGTAAGGATGCTCCATTCCTTTTACAAAGCCAGGTCAACACACAAATTGTAGGGGCAAATAAAGTTTTCCCTCTCTCTCCCCTCTGTGGTGATTGTTGACATCAACTCTGGAGAATATCCAAAGTATCAGCTGCAGATTTTTGACAGGTGTAAAAGGGCTATGTGAGGGAAGAGAAACCCAGGATTTCGTTGCAACACCCAAGGGATGTATTTAGATTCAAATGGTGAATTTCCTGAATTTCATCAGAAGAGAAATTCTGCTGTGTACAAAAACATTGTTAGATACTTCCTACCATCTGAGATTTCTTTTAAAAAAATTAAACTGCACAAAGTATTGGACTGAGAGAGAGATTGTGCTACAGTATTTCACATTCTTCTGCATACGATATAAAAACAATGTTAAATAAGATGTAAAAAAAAAGGAAGCTGACAGAATATAATGCTGAGAAGTAAAGAAAAAAAAAATCCGGACTCAAACAGAACCTCCATTTTCTTTTATACTGATTGTGATCTGGACCCTACTTTACGCTGATAAAACATGAGAATACTTTTCTCTTTGACAAATGGGTTAAGTAGTGACTTCATCCATTTGGATTCAACTAATTTGGGTAGAATACAGGACTCTAACAGCACCTTTTTTACGGGTCATTGTACTACAAGAGTTTACACAATATAAAGTAACTTTTCCCTTGTTGAACTTCTCCACTCAACTGGTGGACCTATTCCATGTTCACCAAGTTGTGAAGAGGTGGTTGAAGCGAGTCTGTCTGTGTGTGCAACACTGTCAGATCATGCAAAGCTGTAGCTATGGGGGCTTCTTGGGACCCCACTGCAGGCCTCAATTTACAGTCTGTTACAGAGGAAGATCCATTTTCATGCACGGCAGTCATGCTTTCTTGAACAGCCGTCAAACTTTGATAGTGCCCATTTTCAGAGAATGACAGCAGCTTTTCTGATAATTTGGGATGGGATCCATCGTATTCTTCATCAGGAAGTTCAGTCTTGTGATCCTCATCATTCTTAGAAGTGCCTTCAACAACTACAAGGAAAGACTTCCAGGGTGTGTTCTTATCATGAATCTATTAAAGAAAAAAGGAATTACCCATACTAAATCACTCATTAGTACTCATTGGATTCTACAGCACTTTCTGTAATCTGAAGCTGTAACAAACCAACCCCACTCTGATGCAGTATGGAGGAGATTCTTAATTAAGTTGTAGCTAACCTAGCAGTTCTTTTTTCATTCCCCCAAATACAGCAGAACATTTTGGAGAATTTTATGAGGTTTATATTCATGTAACAAAGTCTGTTCCAAAGAAAATTTAGAATTCAGAGAACAGTGGCAATTAAAATGTTCCCCAAGTGAAGGGAAGGTGTGAAACATTACAAGCAAACTAAAAATAATCTCAAGTATTAAACTTGCCGTGCATTCATTTATGTGTAAATTATTTTCTCCTTCAAAGAAAAGCTTGTGGGCTTTTTGATGGCAAAGATCAGGCTCTATATTTGAAGCCCTTTGTATATCACATTCCTTAATTGTGCTGGAATGGGTTTTTGTGGATTTTCAAAACAAAAGTCAAAATTGTCGCTATATTCTGAAAAGCCTGTTCTGGCAGATGTCACCACTCAGGAGCCCAACAATCCAGCAATAAGGAAGGTATTTCATCCAGAGGAATGGAAATATCCTCTGCTAATATGTTAAAGGTTCCCATTTTTTTTCCATCTACATAAACTGCTCATCCATGAAAAGTTCTCTTTCTAATCTCAGTATCCAAGAGGCAATCATATCATATTGTGGGATTCTTACTAGGTAACCATTCCTATCTTTTACTGCAACAGTTAACATGTAACTGAAAGTACACAACAAGTGATTTTCATGGAAGTGCCCGTTCTCCCTTACTGAGGTATGACGCCGAAGAGTAGACTTGTCGGTGAATGTCCGCCCACAGGCATTGCACATGAATGGCTTCTCCCCTGTGTGGATCCGATGATGGCGTTGCAGTGCGTTGAGTTGAGTGAATTGCTTGCCACACTGATCACAGCAGTATGGACGCTCACCTGTAAGATAAAGCACCTACAGAAATCATGTGAAGTTTTGCCAATGAAATGCAGGAACAATCTGACTGAAAGCCTTGGCTACACTGCCACCTTGCTGAGGTTGCTGTGCTACTCAACATATTTACACTCTAACTGAAAGCAAAAACAAAATGTTACCAATTGGAGATTATAGAAAAAAATTAGGCTTGATTTCCTGAAGATTAATCGGGAGATTCTTTTCAAAAGATGCAAAGAACATTAGCTATAATGCAGTTAGAATACAATGAAATAGATTCTGATATACTTTAAAGAGAAAAAGGCCTAAAGGTCTGAAGAACAGAATTTCAGGAAATAATATATGAAAGCTAAACAGGAGTTGGGGAATTTGCAGGTAAGCAAACCCAACACGAACAACTCCAAATTGTTAAAGCTAAAAAAAGGAGCAATAATCAGTGAAGCTGAGAAGCAGGTTCATAGATGTACGTATTAAAAAAAAAAAACCTGAAGAACAAAAGCAGACAGATTTTAATTTAGGGACAGGAAGTTCAGTCAAAAGCAATCAAGTAGAGGAAAACAAGATTATTTTCTGAAGAGTTCAAAGTATAAAAATTAGATTCAAAGACATTATGAAGAAATATTTACAGTGGTGTTTAAAAGTTTGTGAAACCGTTTGAATTTTCAATATTTCTGCATAAATAACCTAAAACATTATCTGTTCTTTACAGAAGTTCTAAAACTAAATACCACTACCCCAAGAAAACAAATGAGTAAAAAAATATGAGATCTGGAATCCCAAGCTACTGAAGATACTGTATGTTTCTAGATCGTATATGTTAAATTCAAACAATCTTAAATATTAGATTTGAAACAATTATTTCTAACAATCAGTTTGAACTCAGCTACAGTTTGTTTAAAGTAAGAGATTACAGCAATCTGATTCATAAAGCCACAAACGATGGTTTATAAATCACTGTGACTGGCTGAGCAAAAACCCAAGACACTATGGTATAATTCAGTATTTCAGCCTGAAACACAAGACACTCTGGTGATCTGGCAGACAGCACTATGGAAACCTAGAAACTGTAAAAAATGCTTCCATCATCTGATAAAACTAAGGGCTGCAAGAAGATTGGCATCACCTAGCAAGAACACACTTAAATTTTCCCAATTTTTTTTTTAAAGCCAAACATTTTCCTAAGTTGCTTCTGTACTTTCCTACCTGTATGAACTTTGATGTGCTGATATAGTGAATTCCTCTGCGCAAATGTCCTGAAACAAACTTCACATTTAAAGGGCTTAGATCCGGTGTGGATTCGATTATGGTGTTTCAAATACTCTTTGGAAGCAAAGCTCTTCCCACATGTTTCACACATGAAAGGCCGCTCTCCTAGAGCACAAAGGAATTGGAAGAAAAAAAGGCAGAAAGACTGTTTTTGCCCACGCCAAGATCAACCCACACACATGAACATGAGTTTGCATACAAGGCCATCCATTGCTTTGTCTGTACAAGAAACTTCCCATGACCATCATTATGCACAAATTCTTTGGGGCCTGGAAAACAGCTTTATGTCACAAAGTACATCATCTGACACATCATCCTCAAAACAGTTTAGCCTCTACGGTGTCAGGCTACATCAGCTTCCCCCAGCTGGTGACCTAGAAGGGTTTGACAAAAGGGCCCAGCCAGTAGGGCCAAGTTAAAAAAATAGTTATGGAAAACCAAATTCTCCCTGAATATTTTATACTGGCATCTACAAAGTTAACATGACCAAAAAGGTTTCTCTCAAAAGTATCCCACAATTAATGATGGATGGATGAAAACTGTTTGTATACTTAACATTTTTAAAAGTATGAAATAAAAATAGGGTTACAAAACAGTTCTTACTTTAAGAGTAAAAAGCCTTTGTAGGACTTAAGATTAACATGAGATTGAATTAAAGCTCCAGCAACACTGGCCTATAGCTGGCTTGGAACCAACTTGCCAGTTAGTTAAGGAGGATGGAGAGACAGTTTGTACATATGCTTGATTACAGAGTTATTAAGAATAGCAAAGTCGCTAATACATATCCCTTCTTAACACAATCATACATTGTAGCATTTCCAATAGCATTTTTCCGTGCATAGTTTTAATATAAAAAAGGAACTTATCCTGTTCTTGTTGGTTTAGCAGAATCTCATTAATGCTACTAAGGTAGACAATTAGGCTGTGTTCACATCATACAATGAACTACGAACTAGCCAACTATGGTTTAGGCTAGCATAATTTAGGAACTTGTCCATATGATTTTAATGGTTTCAGGTAAAACAAAAATCTATCCAACTGGGCTAACTGAGTGAACTAGGATTCAGTTAACCGTGGGATAACATTTTATGTGAACAAAAGATATCCTTATTGGCTAGTCTATACAGAATACTGTATATTCCGGCGTATAAGGCGACCCGGCGTATAAGACGATCCCCGTCTTCAGCGCTGAGTCGCATGCCTAGAAAGTCGTCTTATACGCCGGAAACTACCGTAATTTCCGGTGTATAAGACGACTCGGCGTATAAGATGACCCCCTACTTCGGCGCCAATTTTACCTCTTGCAAAAGTCGTCTTATACGCCGGAAAGTACAGGTAATTATTTCACGGTTTGGTGATACTGCTAACAGTAAAATCTCTAAATAACAAGTCATAAAACTTAACAAGATACAATAACAACCTACTCTTATCATTTGATCTGCTTTTTGAAAGTAGAAAACTGAATTTCTATTGATTCCAATAATAGCTGTGAGCCACGTAGTTCTGGAGAACAGACTGGACTATCCATAATAAAGGTATACAGCAATTTTTTCTAAACTAAGGAGGACCAGATACTTATTTTAAATTGACAAAGAATAAAATTTGATAGCCATTGATCTGCAAGAACATTAACCTTAACCCCGTCAGCTCCTACATATAGCAATAACATACATCAGAACAGATTATATATTGCACACATCAGCCACTGAATGAAAAAAAAAAGAAACCTGGAGTGTAAAATGCAGTATTATCCTACTACCTGTATGGCATCTTTTATGGTATATAAGCATGTGATTTTGTGTAAATCTTGCTCCACAATCATTGCAAACAAATGGTTTTTCACCTGTGTGGATTCTGAAATAAGAAAAGAACACAAATCAAGACAAGTATTATACTTGCTCCTTAGCATCACTGAGACATAACCAGTAAATAACAATCAATGGCATTTACTGGGATCTCTTAAGATTTCAAGTCCAGAATGCGAATACTGACTGGGAAATGTAATACCTAGCACAGGGGTAGGCAACCTTGGCTCTTTTATGACTCGTGGACTTCAACTCCCAGAATTCCTGAGGCAGTCATACTGAGGGGAAAGGGAGAGGTTTCCAAACTGAACCATGCTGGCTCAGGAATTCTGGGAATTGAAGTCCACGAGTCATAAAAGAGCCAAGGGTGCCTACCCCTGACCTAGCAGATCACTTGTGCATGATGTGCCCAATCCAACAGGTAATACATACATAGATGTCTTCTATATATATACTTTCCCAGTTGAATGGCAGTGTGAGATGACCTTTCATATTAAAAAAGACTTTTAAACAAAATTCAGAGAATAAAAGACTAGGCATAAGTCTAGGGATACCTCCCCTCAGAAGAGAGAAATCAAAAATAAATTTCAAAACTGACAGGAGAACGGTCTAGTTAAAATATATTATTTTATTAAAATCAAAAGCAACAGTGATCTAAATTAACCTGCAGTAAAAAAGAACAAATATGATTAAAATTTAACTTGGGAAATAAATCACAACTAAAATGCCTTACCTTTCAACCATTAATAAGTCCTTTTGCATTTAGTACAGCAAATACTGCAAATGTTTCAGTTTTCAAAAGCTGAGACAAATTATTCATCTAGAGAAGCTATCTAGCAATTGCATTTTGATCTCCTTCAATAAAAAATACTAGTACATGTGGATTATAAGTCATCTCCTCTCTTGAGTCCAGGCAATATTTCATACTCTGCACCTAAAATTACAATTTATTCCTGAATCAAGTAGCATGAAGGACCAAAATGTCTCTATAACCTCGTAATCAGATTTTACCACACATATCTGCTTTAGGAAATGAAAAAAAAAAAATTCAAACCATAGGCTTTGTCAGGAAAACATATAGTTACCGCTTTTCAGTCTACTTATGTGGTCTTATTTATGTGAATTTCCTTGAACCTAGCATCACTATTGACTCAAAATGCCTGAAAAAAACCCCCAATTAAAACAGTTTGGAAACACAAGGAGATATGGGATGCAACTCTGTAGTCATCAACCCCTAGGCCTCACCCACGTGCCACCCAAGAGACAATGACAAAACTTGATCTCACTGTATTAGCCCATCTGCAATATAGTCCAGACTTGGAATAATGCAACTTCCACCTTTTTCCATAATCGAAAGAATTGCTTCATAGGCATCTCTCTAACTCAAATGAAGAGGTGGAAAGATGATTAGAACTAGGCCAAAGAAACCATCTTTTTGTGACAGATTTAAGAAGCATGTCCATCATTGGCAACAGTGTGTAGTAAATGATGATTTCCCTGTTTCATTTATTCAAATATTCACATTAATCACTAAGATTACAGAGGTGCTTATTTTTTATTCAACCCTTACATATCCAAATTTCTTCTCTATTTCCAAGAATAAGCAGACTCTTATCTCAGATGATTCACAGGCTAGGATCAGCAGCAGTTTGCCTGGAAGCATAAAAACAACAATCTCTGAAGCAGCTTTCTCCAATGCTATGCCTCCCTGATGTATTGGACCTCAGGTCCTATAATTCTTAATCGGCATGGATGTCAATTGTATTGGCTGGGGGATTATGGAAGTTATAGCTCAACATAATAAGGGCTAAACTCATGTTGCCCTTTAGGTTACCAAGTAGATCTGCCTTGTTCTCACCTTCTATATACAGGTAGTCTTCGATTTATGACCACAATTGTGCCCAAAATTTCTGCTGCTAAGCCAGACAGTTGCTAACCATCATAAATAACTGCCAGTTGCTAAGTATCCAAATTTTGATCATGTTGGGGTGGTCGTTAAGTGTGAAAAATGATTGTAAATCATTTTTTCAGTGCCGTTGTAGCTTCAAACAGTCACTAAATGAATGGTTGTAAGTCGAGAATTACCTGTATTCCTAGATCTGAAAGTAGTTGGTGTATACATCTTTGCTGAGGTGCTTAGTCACCGTATCCCAGCCAGGAAGCCATGGAAAAAGCCATTCAGACATCGTCCTAAAACCTTGCTTAGCAAAGTACACGTAGCTTTCTCCTAAGCACACCTAACATCCAGTGGTGGGATTCAGCCGGATCGTACCACTTCGGCAGAATTGGTGGCTAATTTTTTGTTGCCCAGAATGGACTTCCGGAAGCGGCATCCACACAGAGAACCGGTTGTTCACATATCTGAATCCCACCACTGCTAACATCCCTACCCACCTCTAATTGCAGACTAACCATTCCATAAGGTAAGCACAGCTGCCTATTTCATTCAAACCTAAGTGCTTTGCATTATGATTACCTTCGTCAAATTCATAACCAATGGTTTGAAGCTGAAATGTTTTGAAATTAGACTTCACCCATAATTCCCAGTTTTGAGCAAAACAATAAATCAGGATCAGTCAGTACTAAACAGATCCTGAAATTCTCCTCAATCAATGCAGAGGTAGCTAGATAGGGACTATGACTAGCCAAAAAGGCTATGTTCATTTATGCCACGCTAAATGACAGCTTAGTCTAGTCTCCAAATATGATGAAAGTTTTGCATATCCTTTATGTATTATGTTACTTGCCTGGCTATGACTGGAAAGGACTATACAATCAAGCATAGGCAGAAATATCTCTGTCTTAAAGACAATCCAATTTCAAGTTCTTGTCTTACCGAGGAAATGTCACTTCTACTCCCTCTAAGTAATATTAGAAACATACTCTTGATTTCTTTTCATGCCTTTTTTTCATTAAGAAATTTCTTTCCAGAAAGAAAATAAATCTAGCCAAAAGTAATTAGAAATGTTCATTCGGGACCCTCCAACTTCCACTGAGACAATCTATCTGCTTGGGACACAGCCAGCTAAAGGAAGTCTGCTCTCTGAATGTTTCATAGGGTAAAACTGACTGCCAACACCACCGATTACCTCCAAAATCATGTCAAAACGAGTGGGTGAAGAAACTGTAGTTCTTTCTGGCAGTTCCAGTCTACCTCATCTGGAGAGCACCAGAATGAGAAGGCTGTCTGAGAAGACTGTAATCCTCCTGACAGTATTTCAAATTATTACCTAGATGAGGTTTAATGGTATGAACTGGTTTTCAGACACGTGACAACCTACTACAATTCTCTTTCTTCACTTTTACACAGTACTGTATTTTACCCCACCGTCAGCCTGTGACTGGAAAGTGGTCGTCAATCCCACAACGTGAGCAGGTTAATAATCAGGACTCTAAATGTTCTTGTTTAGTTGCTCAGCTAAGGCTCACATTTATCCCAACGTGCATTATGGTGGCTCAAGAGCATTTTAGAGTATTATGGCTGTGATCTGCCGTTTCAAAGGAAAAACGCCTATTGCTGAACCCCGCCAGAGAGGAGCTCCAGCCTATTTTTACTTTCTGGCCCAGGAAGAAACTGCCTCAGGGAGGGCATTAGCTTTTCGCCCGGAGATTTAGCTTACAAGGCCCATTCCATCTGTTCATACCTCATGTGTGTTTTAAGTGCCGAAGGCTGAGAAAACTTAGCCTCACACTCTGTGCACCCATAAGGCTTGTCGCCTGTGTGTGTCCTTTCATGAAGCCTCAGGGCCGTTTTGGAGCTCAAACCCTTTCCACATTGTAGGCAGTGATGACGCTCCCCACCACCCTCATGAACCTGCAGAATGTGCCGCTTGACGTCCTTCTTGCGCTTGAACTTCTTACCACAGAGCTCGCATGGGAAGTGGCGCTCGCTGCTGTGGACGTGGCGCTGGTGGCTTTTGAGGTTGCACCGGTTGGCAAAAGTCTGGCCGCAGGTTTCGCAACGGTAAATGATTTCAGCTGCAATTCCATGGCTCTGCTTGATGTGTTTCAGAAAGCTCTTCTCATAGAGGAATTCTCGCTCACAAGTACTGCAAGTAAAGTTGCCACTGCGGTTCTTTTTATCCTCCTCCAATTTAGTCAGGTTTTCTTCCCGGTGGTCCTCAGCACCATCAAACCCTTTCTCCTCTAGTTTCACGCTGTTCACCGCTTGGTCTCTCAACTCCTCCCCGTCCTTTTCACGGGTGCCTTGGTCTTCGGAAAGCCGGCTCTCTTCCTCGACAGCTTCGGCAAACTTCTGCTGCTCTCGCAGGCGCCTAGTGTACTTCTTCTTGGGTATCTCCACAAAGACTTTTCTGCCGGCCAATCTGCCACTCGCCCGCCTGATTTTGGCACAGGGGGCCTTCAGGGCCTCTCTTTTTTTGCCCAATTTTTCCTTTAATTTCAGGGTGGGGGACTCGACGTCCGATCCAGTCCTGGGTCTTCTGAGGGCAGAACTTGCAAAATAATCCACGCCGTCGCCTGGTGGTTCAGTGACTGTTTTGGGCTCGGTTAAAGTGCTAGGACGGGCCCCACCATCCTCATCGGTATCCTGCGACTCTGAGAAATTTTGCAGCTCCAGCAATACCGATTCAAGCATTTGCTTTTTTAGCCGAAAGCAGGTCTCTGACAAGTCTAAGCATTTCAGCTTCTCAGCCACTTCCAGCATGCGCTGTACCCGATCTTCTTCCACCTCTACCCGGGCAGTATAAACAAACTCCAGAAAAGAGGCAAAGTCTGCTACCTGGACTTCATTCAGTAACACATTAGTCCTTGGTCCATCCATGCCTTTTTCATTAAGGAAGACCTCCTTAAAGAACTTGCTTGTGGCAGCCAGCACAGCTTTGTGAGCAACAAACTCGGCTCGGACACCTTGGTATTCTACACTCACGGTGACATCACAAAGGTGGCCTAGGAGACGCAGCTGGTGCATTTCGTTCAGAAGGTTGATTGGTGAGGATTTGGATTCCAGAAGGACAGCATTACTTTCCATCTTCTTCCTTTCTAAAAATACATTATTATATGTTAATAGTCTGCCCCAGAAATAAAATTAAAGACCCCCAAAGTAATGTTCTTCTAACTAATTGGAAGAAGGAAATAAATCTGTAAAATCTACAAAATCCAGCTATGACCCTTCCAATCAATGAATGGTATAACAATTTCCTTTGTAATAGGAGCTTACATTAAGTTTAAAATAAGATAAGCTGCCTGTGATTTGCAACTGTATTTCCCTAAGTTGCTTGGAATATACAAGTAGTCCTTGTTTAGCAGTCATAATTGGGAGCAGCAACTCAAATCATTAAGCAAATTGATCACTAAGTAAAACTGCAACTCTGCTTATAATCTTACTTCAGTTTTCCTTTGCTTTACAGACCTGTAAAGGTCTTAATTGCAGGAAATGGACTTAAAGTTACTTTTACATCACTGGTGTAACTATGAATGGCTGCTAAATGAGACGGCCTAAATGAGGACTACCTATATAAACAGCAAGAGAGGAAAAGTTATTTTCTATTGGACTTTATTTTACAGTGCCGTCATGCTTTTCTGCCACTAGAAGCTCAGAGCAGAAAAAGAGATTAAAAAAGCATTCCTGAGTAGGATGGCACCCCAAGAAATCTGAGTTTTTTCATTCACATATACCTACAACAGGAAGGATAAAAAAAAATATGTAGACAACACATTTATTAATTAAATACTTGCAACGAGAGACAAAACTGCTTAGATCACTAATGATACAAGAATCTGGGGTTGGGAGGTAGGGTTCATGGCCTCTTTGAAGCAAAGCTCAACTAACTGAAGTTCATTGACATCCTTTCCCTTCTTCTTAGCCTCACCGAAAGTCCTGTTAAATGCTTATTTTATTTAAAATAACACAACATTCTGCGCTTTCCATATACAGCTTTCTTATAATTTTCAATTCACTGATGTACACAGCCCATCCATCCACTTCTCTCCATCTTGACAGTCTTCCTGAACTGTTTTAACATTCACATCTCAGATCTCTTAATTTGGAAGTTGGAAAGAAGAGTTAATCACAGTTAACCATTCAACCTGGATTGAGATGATACACAGACCTATAGCTAAGGTAAGTAAACCTACAACAAATTAGTGCTTTAGCCAGAGTTTGATCCATAGTGACTTTGGATAACCTGCCCATCCGATAGCCATGGGCTTATGGTATCATGCAAACTCAGTTCAAGGACTGGAGTCCACACTTGCTTGTTTTCCTCACCTTTTTTCCTTTCCACATGATCTCATTTATATTATAAACTAACCTAAGCCTATATAAGCTGTTCTGAAATCTTTTCTGACTGGGGAGGGTAAAAAGCACCCACCTCTATTATTTTCTAACATGTATTTATTTCCTTCTAAGCATATATTTATTTACTTCTATATATTTACTTCTAAATAAAATAATTCACACTTTTTTTAATTCTGACACTCAGGCTTTGAATCTCTTTGTCGCAATCTACCTTTTATAGGCTTTGTGTGTCTCAAACTTCAGTTTTCCTTATGACCCTGATGCAAGGCTTGAGTTGTTCATCCAGCTTAGGCAAATACAAGTGAAATGAAATATGTGAAAAGATATATACAGGGGTTCAGAAGATCTGACAGAAAAAGGCACATAGGCATCTGGTTCCCCCCCCCCCCAGTTTTATTCACTGAGAGACAAGAAGCAGCCAAGTTTTATCAAAACAATCAAGCAATTTCACTCTCCCAACTCCAAGCGCAGCTGTTTGGCACTTTTTTTTTTTTTTTGCTAACAAATCTGCCCAGAGCTTATTACAAAAGTATCAAATGAGCATTTTTTTAATGATCTCCAACTTCTAGTTCAAAGCCATTTTAAACACAAACGGCTTAGAATTCTTATTGTCGTAGAGTGCAGTACTGCAGGCCACTTTAGCTGACTGTGTTCAGCGGGTCAGCAGTTCAAATCTCACCGGCTCAAGGTTGACTCAGCCTTCCATCCTTCCGAGGTAGGTAAAATGAGGACCCAGATTGTTGGGGGCAATGTAAATATATATATACATTGCTTACTGGTGTACACCGCTTAGAGCAGCGGTTCTCAACGTTTGTGTGACGGCAACCCCCGTCACACAAACGTTCTGCGCATGCGCGGCGCCGCCCCCTGAGGGGAGAAAATGGCGGATCGCCTTCTTTGGCGACCCCCGAAAAATAGTCGATCGACCCCAAATGGGGTCGCGACCCATAGGTTGAGAACCGCTGGCTTAGAGAGTGCTTGCACTTAAAGCGGTATATAAGTCTCATAAATAAATAAATAAATAAATATAATGTGTGCGTGTGTATACACACACATACACACTTTTCTCTCAGCTGAACTTCACTCGATTTCCTCTCATTTTGTCTGCTGCCCTCCCGGACCACACTGTACAAATTTTAATTAGCCTGTTCTAACTCGATGCCCCCCAACAGATATGGGACTACAAGTCCTATTTCACCCTAAGTAGCACCACCAACGGCGAAGGAGAACTGGAAATGGTCAGAAACCCACTTGGGAGACACTAAGGCTGTTTTAAAGAGATCTGCTTTTTTTTTTTTTTTTTTTTGTCCAGCGCATTGACGTTACGCATGAATTACTCCCCATCTTTACTGAGCTAAGCTACGAATCCATTGCCAGCTCACGGCCACACACAGTCCTCTTTGGGAAAGGACGGCGCTTTCCTTGTCGTCCTCAGTTCCGCACCGCGATTTTTTCTGGAGGAGACCCACAAACCTCCCCCCCCCCAGGGAGAAGGAGAATGAAAACAATAGTGGCACCACTTTGTCTCGCTTCGTTTCCTCCACCACCATCCCCCCCTTCCTAAGGGCAGGCCTACTTCTTCAGCCGCCCCCCCTCACTCCGGCCGACCTGCCATCGAAGCGCTACAGACCGGCCATGCCCCTCCCAATTCGACTCCCGCCCCCCCCCTCATCCTACTCACCGGGCAGCCCCGCAGCTGGGCAGCCTCGGGGCAGGATGGCCCCTCCCCTCCCGTCACGCTCCCACATCCGGTAACGGCTGTCCCTCCGCCCCTTCCTCCCGATGACGTCACAGCGCACCTATGGCGTTCGTTGCCAGGAGAAGGCGGGAGGGGGAGGAGTCAGATTTCATTAGGACTTCCGCCGTGCTCCTATGGAGCGGGGTGGTCGCTCTATTGTCCTACCTTAACAGAGAAAGGCCTTTCACCATAGAAACATCTAGGACTAGGAAAGGCGAGCCTCTTCGTGCTTAGCAAAAGTCCCGGTTGTCGAATCTCTTTCTCGAGCGTTTTTCTCGCGATGTTTGAGATTGCTCGACTGTCTTATTCGCTTGGTTAGCCCCGCTTTTGGATTCCCACAATACAAGAAGCCGTATACCGATCCAAAGTCTGCCCACTTACTTTAACTGTAAAAATGCCAGTTGGGTGATCTTGGGCCAGTCCTTTTCTCTCAGCCCTAAGAAGTAGACAATGGCATTTTACTTCCTTAAAAAAAAAAAAACTTGCCAAGAAAGCTGCGGGGAATAGTCCAGGTAGTCGCCGGGTGTCAAATGCTGGTTTGAAGGACAGCAGATCTTACCACAGCTCACTAGTCCAGGGGTAGGCAACCTTGGCTCTTTTATGACTCGTAGACTTCAACTCTCAGAATTCCTGAACCAGCATGGCTGGCTCAGGAGTTCTGGGAGTTGAAGTCCAGAGTCATAAAAGAGCCAAGGTTGCCTGCCCCTGAACTAATCCCAGCTGACTGTTTTGCAAGGCGTTTCACAACTATTGGCTGGATGCGTGCGAGTGTACCGTACTAGCAGGTTCAACGAGAAAAAGTTACCTGATTTTGCTGCTTATGTAAACAGTCTCACTCTAGCCCATTTTCACAGTGGGCACACAATCTTCCAAAAATAAGGCAACAGCATCTGGCTTGCCCATGTTCCACTGAGACTACGGAGGAGGAAGAGGAGGAGGAGGATGGTATCGATATTCTTTCAATCATGTCCCGTTTTCAGTGATTCTATGGGTCAGCTCTCCACATTTTCCCATCTTGTGTGGCTTCTTTCAGTTGTTTTATGGTTTGTAATGCCAGCTGGTGTTGCCTTTGATGGTGTCTAGCCACCTGTTTTTTGGCAGCCTGGTTTCCTTATACCGCTGACCATTCCAAGCACAGTAATTGTAAAACCTGGTTTAAAATAATAGTTGAATTCACTCAACAACTTGGCTAGGCTACAATGTGAATGGATGGTTTGGCATTGCAACATCACAGGGTAAACCAGACAACATAAGGCATTAATTGCATATTGGGTGAATTGTGTTTTGTTAACATATGGGTATCTCTGCTAAGTCACAAAGAAATAAACTTCTTATAAAAACCATAGCTCTCCTCAGCTAATCAGGAGAAAAATATGTCTGCTCTGTATTTTAAGGCAGAAGAGCAAAGTGTCAACTCTACAACGAAACTGGCTGCAGCCATGTTGCTCATTCTTGGTTGTCACAAGAATGGGAGGGGGGAATGGGGAATTTCTGCCAACCTAAACAATTCTTTGTCCTGTGAGAACCAAGGTTCCCCTGCCGGTTAGACTGGGGTTGGGGGTGGGGTTGAGCATTCTGTTAGAAAGCTGGTCAATCTGTTCTGTTGGGAAGAGTAACTGATTGCATAGCACTGGGCTGCAAAATTTAAATTTGTAATATTGTAACTCTTTGGAGGGAATTTCAGACTTGATTTCACTTTTGACTGTGCTGATACTTTGTTCATACAAAGGAAGGGAGACATGGGGTGATGCAGGACGGTCAGAAAGTGGGGACCAGCGTTCACTGTGTAGTGGCAGGAAGGAAGGAGCAGAGTTTCCAACAACCCGGCAGGAAGGAAGAATCCATGGTCACTGAAACCTAGCGGTAGCAACACTCATTGCCAATGCAACAGGATAGCTCCAAAACACCAGTGAAAGGTGGAGCTTAAAACAGGGAGCGATGCTTCACCTTTGAATCGCAGGAGATGTGGGTGGCGGCAATTCCTCCCCTCCCCCTTGCCTCTGCCTCCATCTGCTGCTTGGAGGGCGGGGCTGGCAGCCCCCATGAACTCGCTACCTCCTGTACATGAAAAACTAAGACACCACTGAAAATAAGCCCTAATGGGACTTTTGGATCAACATGAGACTTAAGTCTTTGCAGAGTCTGGCTTGCAATTCTGCTAATTTTCCCCCAGTCACAGCTGCATTCACTAATATTTAAAGTATGGATGAAATGGATGCCACAAAAGAAGCTGGAACTAATGGAATGTATTTATTTGATTTGTTTGATGCCCATCTCACTTTGTAGAACTTTGTAGACCTTTGTCCAAAGTGAGTCAGGGCTAGGAAGGGCAGGAGAGTCCTTGGCTTTTTCTCCAGATTATGAGAAACAGCCTGTTCTCTGCTCAGATATACCAGAAGAAAAAGCAGGTCACTCGAGGCAACAGGAGACTTGAATCTTTGCAGAGTCTGGCTTGCAATTTTGCTAATTTTCCCCCAGTCACAGCTGCATTCACTGATCTACTAGACTGTTAATAAACATCTGCAGGAAGAAAAGCAAGAGTAGAGAAGGTGGATTCAACAATTTCACCTGGAGCTATGTATGTTTTCTATTATTGCATATAAGTTTGCAATTTTATTAAGTACAGGTAAAAGTTAGCAAATAAATATAGCAAAGGTGGTGGATTTGCCTTTATTGTTTATTCTGAAGCAAACATGTCTTCAAATGAGTAGTAAAACTTTAGCATTTACATTTTTATTTAATATGCATTTACATCTAAGCACAGTACAAGACTCCTCCCCCTTTTTCAAAATGCTTCTTTTAAAGAGAGTTTTGCTTATTATTTATTGCATTTCTATAGCATCCAAATAATATATTCTTGAGAGTGTGTACAACACCATATCAGGTAGTGGTATCTGGACAAGAATTTCTAATAAAGATTATTTAAAGTATGGATGCAACAAAAGAAGCTGGAACTAATGGAATGTTTTTATTTATTAGATTTGTTTGATGCCCATCTCACTTTGTAGAACTTTTGTCCAAAGCGAGTCAGGGCTAGGAAGGGCAGGAGAGTCCTTGCCTTTTTCTCCAGATTATGAGAAACAGCCTGCCCTCTGCTCAGATATACCAGAAGAAAAAGCGGGTATCTGGACAAGAATTTCTAATAAAGATTCTCTCTCCAAAACTAGTTGATTATCGCTCAGGCAGATGAATCACATACTACCCCAAGCAGCCTCCTATCTGGTATGTTAACAAGCATACTGCTGATGGTCTATACAATATTTTCCAGTGCCAATCTAACAGTTTTCCTGCAGTTCCTGGAATGGAGATTGAACACCAATATTCCGTGGCATTCTATGAATATCAAGATCCTGCCTTTTTTTTAATGTCTATTTCACATCAAAATCCTCACTTCAACAATGACTTTTCTTTGCTTTATATCCTATTCTTTGTATTCTCAGATGATTTGTAAGGGCATAGAGAGGTCTTGAGACCAAAGGGTTTGAAATTTGCTCCTCTAAAAGTTACATTCGCCAGCAGGAGACGACATTTGTCTTGTTTTATGCTTATTGAAATTCTTCAGACATGGGTGACCAGCTTGTACTAGGAATTGAACTCCGAGATCTTCGCACTCTAAACAACACAAAGTTCATTAGCTTTAGAGGCTGGTCCTTGTGTTCAACAGTTGCAGGAAGGGATATCTTGAAACAATACCAGAATGTATACCAAATCAACATTCCCTAAGCTTTGGAAGAAGACATATAACACCATGTTCCCATGTACAATATTTTACATGAATTCCACACATCCCTCTTGGTGGAGGTGGGGGTTCTGTATTTTTACACATTTATGTTTATTACCCTTTTCAACTTTGGCCATATCTTTCCTTTTAAAACAAGGATGAATGCTCTCTGACCTGTACATGGCCATCAGTATGGCCCATAGTGGTTTGATCATAGGCAACCTGATAGAACTTGCTTATTATGTCTGCCTAGTCCTCAAAAGCTGTTTAAAACATCGGCATTTAAGTTAAGAGAAAGAGCACATTTAGAAACCATCCCATATCAGAATCCAAGCTGATGCCATGTCTGTTTGTAGATTCTGCAAGCATTTGGAGGATCTTCCTATACAAGGGAAAAAAATTGAAACAATATGAGTTTATATCCACACTGAACTTTAATTGTTGATAGTTATAAATGCATACGGGTAGGTTCCGATTCTTTCACGTTAGTACTGCTTGGTAGCTGTTCTACTTTTTTTACATTTGTGTTTTCTGATGTGTGGCATTTTTCTTGGCAATCAGACCAAACTGTAGTAGAATTCTCTTGCATATAAATAGTAGACAAAGTCTCTATTTTGGACCAGTTATGATCCTTTTTGATAGTAAGATCTATTAAGAAACTTTTCCAATGAGCATTCCGATCATGGACCTATGACAGAAAGGGAAAAAAAATACTTTACTATTCAAGGTCTCATTTGGCTTGTAAAACATAAAAATGTACTTTCAAAAATCCTCTATAAATAGGGTTATTAACTTTTAAAAAATGAAATCTGGATCAGTTTCTTATTTATTAGTTTATCGATTTTTTTAAAATAAAGCATTCGCAGTTCAGTGACTTGAGACCTTAACATTCTTTATTTAGCCACAATAAGACAAGAATATTACCCTTCCTACAGAGCTTTCTCTCCTACATTGAAGAATCTAACAATCATCTTTAAGATATGTGGAACTTTAAGATATGTGGACCAAATCCTAGAATTCCTCAGCCAGCATGTTGTCTGGGGAATTCTGGGAGTTGAAGTTCATACCTCTTAATGTTGCCAAGTTTGAAAAACATCGATCTAACCCAGGGGTAGGCAACCTTGGCTCTTTTATGACTTGTAGACTTCAGGAATTCTGGGAGTTGAAGTCCACGAGTCATAAAAGGGCCAAGGTTGCCTACCCCTGATCTAACCCAAGGTAACTTTAAAACTGCTTTGAAACCACACATTGTGTGAGTGTTGCTGGCCCTTCAGCTTCCCAAAGTTGTGTAACCCTTGTGCATTACAGAGTTGTATTATAAAGAAACAAGGCAGAAATCACAGGGCTTTGTCAATTTTCTCTGCCCGTGCAGAGGTGCTTTCGCCTCCCTACCCCAGTAGCTGTGCCACAATGGACAAAATGACAGAAGAATGAAAGATGACTGCAATGTCATGCACGGCTTAAAAAAAAACCCCTCAGCGAGAGAACTTTTTTTAATGATCTCAGGACATAAACCGATCTCTATTCCTGCAGACAAAAGCTATAGCACAAACCACTGAACATACCAATACATGCCTCCTCAGGGTAGACATATCTGTGAAGGTTCTCTCGCAAGCCCTGCATTTGTACGGCTTTTCTCCAGAGTGAATACGCTGGTGACGTCTTAGGGCTCCTTGCTGAGTAAACGTCTTTCCACACTGCTCACAGAAATAAGGAGGAGTCTCTGGGAAGAGGATGAATGTGAAGAAACAAACCAGTGTTAGTTTATTTCTAATTCTAATGTCACTTTTAAAAACATAAGTCTATCTTGCTTTCTGACTTTTGTGATCTGCAGAGGTGAAGACAGGCTACAGTAGATCATGCCTGCATAAGTATTGAACTGGCAGAGCACTTAGCAATAGCACTTAGACTTAAATACCCCTTCATAATGCTTTACAGCCCTCTCTAAGCAGTTTACAGAGTCAGCCTATTGCCCCTAACAATCTGGGTCCTCATTTTATAGACCTCGGAAGGACGGAAGGCTGAGTCAACCTTGAGCCGGTGAGAATTGAACTGCTGGCAGTCGGCAGAGCCAGCCTGCAATACTGCATTCTAAGCCCTATGCCATCACGGCTCTATATAGATGCCTAATGTTTGGTTTACACGCTAAATTATTTTAAGTGCAATTAATGAACAAAAAGACATTATTTTTAAAACAAATAGGAAAACTATGGGGATCCTAGGTTCCTTTACATGATGCATGTATAAGAATTATGGTAATTGTGAACACCAAATCCCAGAAACCTGCTTTGCATTTGCATCTCTCCAATACACCATTTGTTCCCTACCTGCATGAACATTACTATGTTGGGCTAATGAAGTTCTCAATCCAAAGGTTTTCCCACACACATCACACTTGTATGGCTTAGCTCCCATGTGACAACGCTTGTGACATTTTAAATATTCATTGGTAGCAAAATGTTTCCCACATACATCACATTTGAAGAGGCGTTCTCCTGTAAAGGAAATATATGCACACATACTAATGTATTTGCTGTAGCCATCACTATATTCTCTTTTGTAGTAAGCAATGTTACACAGAGGACAGAAAAGGGATAATGAATGAATATTTCTGCTCCAATGCAGGATCATCCAAGTTGAAGATCACCCATCGGAGATTTTCCAAAATAATGTTTTCTCGAGCTTTTCTTAATATACTTCTCTTTTCCTTCTCTGTAACGATTAAAAACCTTTCAGGAATTTTACTGTTCATAATACTGAACAGTACTATGTGAAGCCATGAAGAATCTGAAATTCTGTCAGTTTGCTGTATCCTAATTCTTTGTAGCTTATTTGTAACATTACATACTTGCATATTATTAAGGTGACCAACCGTCCTCCTTTAGGGAGGACAGTCCTCCTTTTGTAAGTTCTGTCCTCCCTCAAAAAGTGTTCTCCTACATGTCCTCCTTTTCGATATTTGAAGACTAATCTCAGGGCTTTTTTTTTTTTCTCATAGAACGCTCAGAACGGCGTTCCGGCACCTTTTTTTTATGGGTTTTTTTTTTCAACTTTTGCATGAGCTGTGCTGCTCCCTATTGGCTTTCGAAAGCCAATAGGAATTGGTGCTGAGTGCGCCAAAACACCCGGCTGGCAAACTTTGCACATGCAAGTTGTCTGTATTATTGTTGCAATGAATAAAATGTTTCTTTTATTTACGATATTTTTTTCTTCAATTTATTTGTGTCCTTTTCATTGTAAAAAAGTTGGTCACCTTAATATTATACAAGAACAAGGTGTCGTTGACATACAACTGGTCACTTGGCAAGCCATTTGAAACTATGACAGGCTCTGATAAAGGCACTTATGATACAGATTTGAAGTTCTGATGGCCTGCCCCTCCCCCCCATGGTTACGTGATTGCATTTTGGGTTTTGGAGAACTAGCTTGCATTTACAGCTGTTTGCAGCACCCCACAGTCACATGACTGTGATTTAAAACATTTTTGGTCAGAAATTAGAGTTTACTTCCAGTTTCCAGCAATGCCCATTAGGCGCCATGGATTTAACAACCATGGAAAAAGAAAAGATGCAGTCACATAATGACCTGCTTAATGACTGGCATGACGTAAAACCGTAAGTCAAGGACTATCAGTAGTTCTCACTTAGCAACCATAATTGGGACTGGCAACTCTATTGCTAAGCACCATAGTCATTCAATGAAACACCACATGACCATGATAGGCTTATATCCTCACTTCTCCTTCAGCTGTTAAACCAAACATGTCAAACTCGCAACATCATGTGATGCCAACATATCGGGACAGTTTTGCCATTGCCGGCAATGGGGTGGGTGCGGCTTCCACGTGATGCGTCCAGCCCATGGGCCGGCAGTTTGACACCCCTGTGTTAAGCGAATCACCATGGTTGTTAAACAAAACATTACAAGACCACGACTTACAATTTTACACAAGCCAGTTGTGAAGGGTCCAAATAGCAATACCATGATGGGACACTGCAATGGTCATAAATGTGAGGATTGGTTGCAAAGCTTATTTTTTTACACCCTGTAATTAAAAACGGTCACTAAACGAGGACTGTCAGTAACCAAGGACTACCTGTACTCTTGTTTCTTTTTCTTATATTACACTGAATAACTGTTGCCTGACAGCCATATTGTTTTTTTGCAAATAATCCCTTCTGTAAAACAAAAGTATAAATGGACAGAGGCAGTTTACGTTTACCCCTTCATTTCTCCTAAAATTCTGCAAAAAAGAAAAGATGACATTCAGGGGAAGACTTCAACATTCCTTTTCTCCTGAAGGATTTCTGCCAGGCAGAAGGCTGTTGGACTAATACAGGGGTAGGCAAGCTTGGCTCTTTTATGACTCGTGGACTTCAATTCCCAGAATTCCTTAGCCAGCCATGCTGAGGGGAAAGGGAGAGGTTTCCAAGCTGAGCCATGCTGGCTCAGGAATTCTGGGAGTTGAAGTCTATGAGTCATAAAAGAGCCAAGATTGCCTACCCCTGGGCCTAGACAGTAGGTAAAGTTGCAATGTAACAGCTTGATCTTGCAGAATGAGTGGGCAACCTCCAACATTTGCCTACGTTATAGGTAGATTTTTGGAACTGTAGGGAACCTTGTCATGACCAGCCACTGGGCAAAAAAAAAAAAAAGGCTTTCTAGTGAATAACTGGTCCCCGTTTTCCCACTGCTACAAGCAGTAGGAAACCAGGAACATGTGCACCCACGTGCAATCAGAACCAGGCTGTTCTCTATGTGACTATCAGTGAACAGGTTGAATTGTTTGAATCAAGATACCTTACTATTGATTTTCTTCTCATTAAAAAACAAAACAAATCTGATATCTCTTCTTTGTAAGTAAATGTGGCCTTTTGTCAGGTTCAGGAAATTAATTTAAGCCTTACCTGTATGTGTCCTTTTATGACCATTAAGTTTGCTTTTATCAGCAAAAGAGGCCCCACAGTCCTCACAGATGTATGGCTTTTCACCTGTGTGTGACCTGCGTTCAGAGGAATATGGAAATACTGTCAAAAGGTATTTAAAACCAAATGTTGTTTTGCAAACTTCGCAAAATGTTCATCAAGACCAGGGGTCTTCAAACTTGGCCCTTTTATGACTTGTGGACTTCGACACCCAGAATTCCTCAGCCAGGCACGCTGGCTGAGGAATTCTGGGTGTTGAAGTCCACAAGTCATAAAAGGGCCAAGTTTGAAGACCCCTGATCAAGACCTTATACTACAAACAAAAAGTATGCAAGAAAGCAACTCACTACAAAGAAGCTGCCTCCACTTAATGATTTGGACAAAATGATTTCCAAGGGTTTTTTTTTTTTTTTTAGAGGCATACAACATTTAAGGGTCAAGGACTTTTTAAACTGATGTTTGACAAACTTTGGGTAGAGCAAGCACATACACACGCAGACACAAAAAGTTGATTTCATTCCATTTTAACTTATACTAAATTAAAGAGAAACTGTATTTTATTGTAGTAAAATATAACAGAATTCTAATTAAATCCATAGAGTTTAATTCATTGTTCTCTATGTATTTAATAATTTAGCCCTCTATTGTATTAAAAATTACAATTAGGCAGTAACTTTGCAGAGGCCAAATCCAGGACTGCAGGAAGCATACCTCTTCATCACGTAACTCTTTTGACTAGGGCAAAAAGAAGGGAGATGCAATGCTGGAGTTGAAATCCTCGCCTGATTAAATAAAGATTTCTTATTTTTCTACATGTTTAAGAGCTCATGAGAAGTATCAGAGAGAGAGAAAAAAATCACCAATTCAAGAAAATAGTATTCTATTAAAATAAGAGGAAAGAATTGGTGTCCTGGTTCAGATTCAATAAGGGCTGAGCCTAGAGCTATGTGCAAGAAGCGTATCTTAAGGCTCTGCCTTTAAAAGATAAAAAAAGAGAAATATTCAATTTATATTACAAATAGGTATAAATATTTTAAAACAAAATGTGTCGGGAGAAGAAGAGATAGTAGAAGCTGACCTGGTATGAATCTTGAGCTGTGATGGCTGAGCAAATCTTGAGCCGCAAATGCCACACTGATATGGCTTCTCTCCTGTGTGGGTCCTCATGTGGAAGACAAGGGCCGTTCTGGAGCTCAGAATTTTCCCACAGACGGAGCAGAGGGGACGCTTCGCTTGACCCTCATGCTTCCGCACCGAGTGAGTCCTCACATCCCTCTTTCTCTTAAAAGTGGCCTTGCACAGGGTGCAGGCAAACTTCCGGTCTTCTGTGTGAACGCAGGCTCGGTGCTCTTTCCAGCTGTTGTGACTTGCAAAGGATTTGCTGCAAACATCGCACTGATATACTTTCCCAGGCAAGGAGTGATGGATTTCTTTGCAGTGGATGACGTATTTCCTCCGTGATGGAAACTTCTCGGTGCATTTGGTACAAGTTATGATGTAAGCAGGTGTTGGGATGGCCTCGTTTTTGTTAACTTGGCAATTTACATCCTGTTTGCAGTCTTCTGTACCATGATCATATGAGTCCTCATTGTGATGATCATCTGGAGAGAAAGCCTCCTTGTCTTTATTACTGTATACGCCTGCTTCACAAACTCTTTCTCCATTTTCTTTCACATCCACAGTCCCTTGCCTACAAGTGTCCCCTTTTTTAGTATTAGTTTCAGTACCTACTTCCAGCTTCTTGTTTTTTTTGTCTGGTTGTGCTTCCTCTGGAAGGGATCTGCCAGGTTCTTCCTGAGTAGCTTTGCCAAGTATTTCCCTTTGCAGATCATGATTTGGCACCTTGGGTTGTGTTTTGTTATTCCTATTGATTCTACTATCTATCACATCTACTTTTTCTGCTGGTGGAACTATTGTCCAGTAAGCAGGCATGCATTTTTCATCTTTTTTGGATTCATGTATCTTTCTATTGGAGAAAAAAGAATTTATAGATAGGAAAATGCAATGTTGAGCGTTACAGAGACTTTAAAAACCCGCTTATACATAGTATCTCCCCAAATGAGAGCTATCAGCCTGATTTTGCCCAATAACTTTGTTTGCAATAGTGGCAAATATCTATAGCTAGGGTGTAGGATGAGGGTGAAGGTTCGTTCTCCGAGCTTGTGGGTTGCTTTCCAAATGTTTCGTTAACTTGCTAGGTAACATCTTTAGCAGAGTTTAGGAGATGTCAGTGTCAGTGTTCTTCAAAGGCTTTGTGTGGGCAACAGGACTTGTGATGGGTCAGGTGTGGGTGTGTCAAGTAAGGGTCTTGTAATGGGTCTTGTAAGGGGTCAGGTGTGAGTCATCAGTGAGAGTCTTGTGATGGGGAGATTACATCAGGTGAGGGTCATTAGGAGGTGAAGTGCTGGATGGGGGGGGGCTCGCATGGGTTGGTTGAGGGTTGATACTGTCTCTGGTTGGCTGTGCTGTTGATTTGGATTCTGACACCAAACAGCACCAGTTCGATTGGAGAACCTCAAAATCAGCAACGTTACCACCTGTCACAGTCGTAAGTTCATCAAAGCCCGGCACTCCACAAGGAATTCCATCAACAGATATATTGACCTACAACCAGCCTACAAACCCCTCAAAATCCAGATCAATTACACGGCCAATCAGAGATAGCACTGACTCTCAACCAACCCACCCAAGTCCCCCCAACCAGCACTTCACCTCCCAGTGACTGTCACCTGATATAAGCTCCCCATCACAAGATGCATCACAAGACTCTCACTCAACACACCCACACCTGACCCATCACAAGACATACTGACCATACAAATCCCTTATAAACAGGAGAACAATGACATCCCCTAAACTTTGCTGAAGATGTTACCTAGCCTGGTAATGAAGCATTTGGAAACCAACCCACAAGCTCGGAGAACGAACCTTCACTCTCAATAACTTTGTCCCAAGCTCCCAAATAAGGAGTTTCAAAATCTTTGATTTAATGATTTAAGATTTACTTGCAGAAAGCTCAGCTAAGAGAAGCTATAAGAATGTTTTAAAAAAACAGACAAGGGGACAGTCTTTTTTTCTCTATTTTTTTATTTTTATTTTACTTTTGATGAAAGTGCTTTGCTACAATTTTTTCATTAAGCCAGCTAATAAGATCGGCCTGGCACGGGAATGATACTAGTTATTTTTAAAGAGGTTAAGTGATTGGTGAAGTTTGCATAGAAAGAAATAAGCTAAAGGTAAAATATGAGTACTCAGTTGCCATGGAAACATAAGCTTTGCTGTAGTGAAGGTTACCGAGAAGGACTAAAGTAAGAGAAAAACAACAACAACCAGGCAGAGGCTTGTCCCTTTTATTCTTCTTAGGACTTTTTGTTTTGTTGTATTAAAAATGAAGACAGAGATTAAATAAAGTAGATGAAGTTGTCCAGGATTGTAAAAAGAAATTGAAGGAATTTTTTGAAAATAATTTAAATAAAGAAACCGACAAGAGGATAGTTTGAGATGCCAGCAAAGCCTTTATTAGAGATTATTTGATATAATATAAACATCGTGGAACATGCACAAGTTGCATTAAGAAAGCAAAGCAAAGCATGCCATAGTTGGGCCCGTGTGGTACAATCACCAAAGTGGCCACCAAATTTTTTAAGTGGCAGCACTGAATTGCGGCCACTCATGGTAGCACAGTCCATCAACAAAGTGGCTTGCTTTGCTTCCCAAATCCAAGCTCCAGAGATCTTCAAAAAGTAATTGTGTGACACTGGTTGAGTAGGAGGGTGTAGGGCCCAATGAGAGGAATGAGGGGGAATTACTACAGAAGCCAACATTTTGAGACTGGGTGGTAATAAATTTGGGGGGGCGCTGTAACTTTGAACAGTTGCAAAGTGATTGGTTGTAGTGTGGGAAGTCAGCCCCCCCCCCAGAGAAGGAAATATTAAAAAGGGCAGAATATTATATTTCCTCAAAAGATCTTAAAAGGGCAAAAAAGTATGCCCTCCCCAATGCAGAAACCAGCTCTGTAGAAATGCAGATATCATAATCCTTTCAGAAAGACTGGCACTGGAAGCTTAGAGCTGATGGGATTAGAAAGACAAAGATCCCTAGAATCAACAATCCCTCACACCAAAAAATCCAATACAGGACATAGTCATCAGCCAAACCCCCAGGGAAGAAGGATATGACCTTTCGGACATAATAGGATTAACTCACCACCATCAGAATACCAGAAAGGCACACTCAGACTCAAGTCAAAGTACATGACACAGGAAATTACAAAGCCTCAAACAGGAAGAACTCCAAACAAAAACTCAAGAAGATATAAAAACCCACCACTCCCTACTACATGTGGTCAGCTTTCCCAGAGCCACGCTTCTGTCTGGCTTTGCTCTTCAATAAACTACAACCTTCTTTCTAAAGCAGTCTCCATTTTGTTTATTCTCAGCTTGAACTGGACTGATGAAGATTTTTCTTTCAACAGTAGGTTGGGGATTAGTTGTATTTTATGTTCTAGCCTCAACAAGAACTTTTATAAAATGATGTATCATTAGTATATAGAAACTTCTGGAATATATAAAAGTACTTTGAATCCCTGCTGGAAATGTAAACACACTGAAGGGATACTTTACCATATTTAATGGACACAGAAAAGGCTAAAAAATGGATATAATAAATACAGGCACTAATCCAGAAGGTTTTAATGGTTAAAGTACAACTGAAACCAGAGATTTTTCTTTTAGGACTAATGGACAGGCAATTTGAAAAAAAAAAAACAACAACCATGAAACTTTTGTTTTTATATAGGATACCTGCAGCAAGACTCTTAGTGCTCAGAAAAGGAAAAATTTGACATTACCCATGGAGTGGGTTGGTGAAGATGATAGAACTTGTAATGGCTAAATTAACAGTATGGCTGACTGGAAACTACTTGTAGACTTTTTGCATGAAATAGAAAAAATGTGCTCATGATTTGTGGTTTTTATGATTAGAAAAAAACTGGATAATAGAAAAAAGTGAGTTTTATAAGAGCTAATATTGTAATTCTACTTATATTTGCTACAGAACAAAATGGAAGGTTTTTCTATTTCTTTTTACATTTTTTTCTTTTCTCTTTCTTTCTTTGCTTTGTAATACTTTTCCTTACTTCCTTAGTCTTCCTAAGAGTAACTTTATTACTTTGGGTTAGTTTTTATGTTCTTTGCAAATTTTTAATAAAATTTATACCAAAAAACCCTCCCACAATAAACCAAACCCAAACCAGCTAAACTATGGCCGAGCATAAGGTAGGAACTCTGCTACAAAATCAAAAGCTAAAAAGCTTGCAAGCCAACTTCTCTTTGCTACTGTTGTCTACTTTTTATGTATTAAAAAAAAGAGGATTTACCTTATGTGACTATTAAAGGCTGACCTCTGAGCAAAACTGGCTGGACAGCACTGACATTTATAAGGCTTCTCTCCTGTGTGGGTTCGTATGTGAATTGTCAGGCCATACCTGGAACTGATGACTTTGTCACAGTAGGGGCACTGCTGCGGATGCTGCTTCTTTTCATGCACCCTGCGGATATGAGCACTGATATCCTTCTGGTGCTGAAACTTTTTGTCACACAGCAAACAAGGGAAGATCCGCTCTCGGCTGTGGACAGTGACCCTGTGTTGCCTTAGACTGTGGCAATTGGGAAAGAGTTGGCTACAAATATTGCAGCTATACTCAGTTCCCAGGCTTGTGCTATGCTCCAGATCAATATGTGATTGGTACTGCTCAGCAAAATGGAATAAATGATTAGGCTTGTCACTGGCATATGCTCTTGGCAAGACTTTTGATATATTGCGGGTTGATTTTCTGAGTTTCGCCTTACAGAGTGTCAAGCTATTTTCATCCTTTTGGTCAGGCAATGTCCTGCTTAAAGCGATGTGGGCTTCCTTCAAGTCCTCTTCATTTAATGAAGGACAGTCAGTCTTATTGGTACGCTCAGATGTCGTTGTTGACTCATCTTTGGAACTGCAGCTCACAATCCTATCTTCATTAGGGTTTACACGTTTATTTTTAATATCATCAAAATTGGTGGTTGGTTTTGAATGGTTCATTTTCTTCCCCAAATGATTCTTCCTCAGTGCAGCAGCCAAAACATGTACTTTTTCTCCTCCATGTTCTGTTCGCTTCCCAGGCAATCTAACACTTTCATTTTTTTTCAAATGAACATGTGGTTCCAAGTTTCCATCTACAGCCTTCATTTTTTCAAAAATTTCAAGCAGATCTTTGCATTCAAATCTTTCAGCGACTTCCTTGATCTGGTGCAGTCTGTCCACTTCAATTTCTAACTCTGCGGTGTAAACAAATTTGAGGAATGAGACAAATTCTTCAGTCTGAATATCCCGGAGGATCACTGTGCAGTTTTTGACGTTCTCCATTTCACTATTGAGAAAAAGGCTTTTAAAGTAATTGCTAGAAGCTGCTAAAACAGCTTTGTGAACGGAAAATTCTTGTTGGATTTCTAGCTGGTCTGTGTATATTGTAACATCACAAAAATGTCCAAATTGATAGAGAGAATGTAATGTTCTCAGAAGGTTGGAGGCAGCAACACTGGATTTCATTAAAATTTTCTTTTTTTCCATCCTATTAAACAGAAATACAGTTGAGAACATTTCGTCAGCTTGTAAAAATTACCCTTCTCGTCAAAGTTAGTTTTAATGTCAGATCTTCCATATTTATACTCAATATTTAAAATTCCTACAATTAATGGCCAGATAGATAATAGTAGATTAACTGAGGAAAAGTCTTTTTTTAATTTAAAGGTTACAATACCATCTATGCTTACTTAAGTTGCATTATATTCTAGCCTCTGTCCTCTACAAATGTGAACTGTGTAAAGCTGAAAGGACGACTTTTTGACAACCAGCATATAAAAAAGAGAAACATGAAGGTGATGTATACATAATTCAGATCTTTGTAAACACTAGACAGCAAGTTTTTTCAAATGTTTTGCTTCCTGAAAAACTTTAGGTAATTATGATATTCATAGCCCTTCAAACTAAATGCAAATATAAATTCAGAAAGACTGCATTATATAGGAATCTTCAGAAATATGAAATTAACTTTGAATGACTACAACATATTTAATTATGTAATGTTTCTGACAAATTGCACGAGTTCAACAGGGCTAAAAATATTTTGCTGCTGATTTTCATTTGTACTTGGGTGTCAGATGCATCTCGCTACAGTGTTGAACAACAGTCAGCCAGCACTGACGGATTCCTGTTGCCCTGATACCATTTTTTCATAGAAGCATTATCCTAGTGGAGCTTTTCACCAATTTCATCATTGACTGGGCCTAGATTTTCAGGAATGAGGTCCAAGTGTAAATGCAGCAAATGAATCCGCAATGACATTTTGCACTATTTTACACGATCGTGTACAATTTTGTAAAATATTACTTTTATGTATGAAAGCAGCCAAATTGGAAAGGAGGAAGCTTCTTTGATTCAGCCAATGAAACAAGAAACAAGACACAGAAAATACTAAATCAGACTTTTGCCCCAACTTTCTACTTGCAAGGAAATTGCTTTTATTTAAATAAAAGAATATTCAAAAATACAACCTGCCTACCTTCATCTGACTGAATGCATTAAATGGATCAGACAATTTGCAGGAATAGTTGATAGATAATTAACAGGGAATTCCCTAGATCTGTTTCTAGGAAAATTACCCATTTGCCCTTGCTTCCCAGAAGAGAAAGCTGATGTATCTAGAGTATTTGTTTCATTTTTTTGGACTGACAAGAGAATGATCAAAACCATTTGATCATTGCTATCCTATATTCCTCCAAATAAGCTTAGACCGCAAATTCTGTCAATTGTAGCAACAGAGGAATGTATGAATATGTTGAACTATAATCTCCAAGGGCATAATGTCGGAAAATGGTATAATACAGCAGTAATGGCAACTGGAGAGGCTGAGGTTCAGGGCATCATTCAACAGGGCTTCCTTTGGATCTTTGCCCTCCCTTAGTTCAGACTACCTCACAAGGTGATTGTGAGGATAAGTATAGTGGAGAACTTCTTGTAAGCCACAAGGGTTGACTTCTCAGAAAAACTGAGGGGCATAAATGCTATTTCTAAAAGATTGCCGAAGATGTAGAGAGAAGTTTTATCTCCTAATCTTGCAAGTGGGGAAAGATTTAGCAAAACTGAAAGGGATCCATGATTAATGAAACAAAAGCAGCGTAGTACTTTATGTTAAGGAATCCAAGCAAGCGATCTCCTAACCATACCCTCCAGATATGTCTCCTGCTCTCCGCTGACTGAGGATAACAGCGTTACAATATAGTATAATCCTCGAAACTCCTTAGAAAGCAGCAAGTTGGAGAAAGCTTTCTGGCTTTTACTTGCTACTTTACTTGAAGAGGTCGCCACGGTCAACAACAAGGCTGGTTGCATTAGGACCGGACAGAGTTTCAGATGGTAAAAAGATCTTGCAGCAGCCTTGAGTGACAAGACCTATTCCTGGGCAGCGCATAGCCCTTGCCCGGTCGCGGGCAAACAAAGAGGATGTGGCGCATCTTCCCACCCAGCTTGTTTGGCGCAAATATCAATCGGAACGATGCTCCGGAGCATCTTTTCGGGGCTCGAATCCGGGAGGTTCGACTGACCTGCTCAGCGGGAGGGCGAACGGGGAGACAAGCCGAATTCTCACACTCAGCTGAAAGCGACTTTGACAGCCACCGTAGAGGCGCAGGCCCGTGACCGAGGGGTTACCCAGGAATAAGGGTTGGCTGGCGTTTGGAGCTCGTCCCTTCCTCGCCCGTCGCTGTCATCTATGGTATTCCATTGAGACAGAGCAGTCCGCCATCTTTCTGGTGGGCAAGGAAACCTCAGAAGCCATCTTTAGCGAAGCACGCTAGAGTGGACTCTTTCCTTAGTGTGCTCGCGCCGCCTGCTGGAGAAAGGAAGAGTTTACGAAGAGCAATACATTCGTTTGAAACGTCGCGTCCGGGCTGGGGCGTCTTTCGCTTTGTGGTGTTGTTTTCCCCGTTTCCTAGAAGCTTGTGGCCTCTACAAAACTCGGTGAGAGAGACAGAGAGAGAAACAGCAACAGAGAGAAACAACGAGTAAGCAAGCAGTGTAGGGTCACAAAACTCCACAATATAGTGGAGTTGTACTGTATATAAGAAATAACTGCATTTCTAACAGAAATAGAGCACAACAATAATGAAAACTGCCTTGAATGCATTTGGGTCAATATAAAAGGGGGGAAAATGACATTGCCATAGGTGTATACTATAGGCCACCCAACCAAACAGAGGAAATAGATGAACTTTTTGCTAGTCAGTTAACTAAGGTATGTAGGAAGCATATCACAATAGTAATGGGGGACTTTAATTACCCTGACATCAGCTGGGAGACAAACTTGCACCAAGTTGGAAGATCAAATAGGTTCCTGACAAATCTAGCAGACAACTTTGTCTCTCAAAAAGTAGAGAAGGGAACTAGGGGATCAGCTATATTGGACTTAATTCTCACTAACAGAGATGAAATGATAGAAGGTGTTGAAGCCACAGGAACCTTGGAGGGGGAGTGCAATATTGGAATTCAACATTACGTAAGCACAATCAACATAACATAGTCAGACTAGGGCCTTAGACTTTAAGAAAGATAATTTCAATAAACTTAGAGTTTGGGAAGGATTCCATGGATGAGAATCCTCAAGTCAAGGGGAAAACAACTCAAGAAGCTTGGTAAATTTTGAAAAGTGAAATTATAAAAGCCCAGTCTAGCACAATATCAATGGAGAAGAAAAATAGCAGCTCTCAAAAGAAACCAGCATGGCTGCATAAAGAATTCTCCGATAAACTGAAAGACAAAAAGAACAAGTATAAAAAGTGGAAAGGGGGGCACATAACTGAGGCAGAATATCAGCAGATAGCCCGAGCCTGCAAAGATGAAGTGAGGAAAGCTACGGCTCAACATAAACTAAGACTTGCGACAAATGTCAAAAATAACAAAAAAAGCTTCTTTCAACATGTAAAAACCAAGAAAAAAGTCAAGGAAACAGGCCATTAGTGAGAGACAGTGGCAAGGAGGTGATGAGCAACAGGGAAAAAGCAGAACTACTTAAATCATTTTTTGCAACTGTCTTTACACAAAGGGAAAAAACAGTCCAACCTATCAAAAACAGTACCGTAAAAAACAGCTTAGAAATACCAGTTTTAAAATAGGCAAGAAAATGGTAAGTGAGCACCTGTCCACCCTAGATGAGTTCAAGTTACTAGGACCAGATGGATTACACCTCATGTTTCTGGAGGAATTGGCAGACATGATCTCAGAACCACTGAACTATATCTGTCAAAGATTCTGGAGCACTGGAGAATTACCAGATGACTGGAAAAGAGCTGATATAGTTCCCATCTTCAAAAAAGGGAAAAAAATAGATCCAGGAAACTACAGACCTATCAGCGTGACTTCAATATCTGGGAAGATTTTGGAAAAGATAATCAAATAATGAATCAGTGAACACCTAGAAGCAAACAAAGTTATTACCAAAAGCCAACATGGGTTTGTCAAAAACAGATCATGCCAGACAAATCTTATTGCATTCTTTGACCAGGTGACAAAATTAGTGGGCCAGAGGAATGCTGTGGATATAATTTACTTAGATTTTAGTAAGGCATTTGATAAAGTAGATCACAACCTACTACTTGATAAGATAGAAAAATGTGGGTTAGACAGCATCACCACCAGATGGATTCGTAACTGGCTGACCAATAGCACTCAACGTGTAGTCCTCAATGGAACTGCATCTACATGGAAGAAGTATGCAGTGAGGTACCCCAATGCTCTGTTTTAGGCCCAATGTTCTTTGACATCTTCATCAATGATTTGGATGAGGGGATAGATGAGGAACTTATCAAATTTGCAGACAACAAGCTGGCAGGAATAGCCAACACTCTAGAACAATGTTTCCCAAACTTGACAATTTTAAGGCATGTGGACTTCAACTCCCAGAATTCCACAGCCAGCATTGCTGGCTGTGGAATTCTGGGAGTTGAAGTCCTCATGCCTTAAAATTGTCAAGTTTGGGAAACACTGCTCTAGAAAATAGGCTTAAGATACAGAAGGATCTTGACAGATTTAAAATTGGGCGCTATCTAACGAAATGAAATTCAGTGGTGAAAATAGTAAGGTTCTACATTTAGGCAACAAAAGCCAAATGCACAGTTATAGTATAGGTCAGTGATGGCGAACTTTTTAGAGACCGAATGCCCAAACTGCAACCCAAAACCCACTTATGCATCGTCGGATGCCAGGTGGGTGTGGCCCATTGGCTGGGTGTGGCCAATTGGAAGGGCATGGTCCACTGGGTTGGCATGGCTGCGGTGGTAACGGCAGACTGGGTGGGATTAAAAAGTTCAATCAATCAATTCCAACTTTGCAAGATCTTTTTTTTCCCCGTGAGAAGTTGAAATTGACTGATTGATTGAACCTTTTTTTTTTTTTTTTTTTTGCACACGGCAGCGGAGGCCTAAAGCGAAAAGGTTTTATAAAACCCAGCTGAAGGCCTAGAACTGGGGTGACGGCATGCGTGCCCACAGAGAGGGCCATAGTTTGCCACCACTGGTATAAGTGGTACCTTGCTCAATAGTAATAACTGTGAGAGGGATCTTGGAGTCCTAGTGGACAATCACTTAAATATGAGCCAGCAGTGTGCTGCAGCTGCCAAAAAAGCCAACAGTGCTAGGCTGCATTAACAGAGGGATAGAATCAAGATCATGTGAAGTATTAATACCACTTTACAATGCCTTGGTAAGACCACACTTGGAAAAGTGCATCCAATTTTGGTCACCACGATGTAAAAAAGATGTTGAGACTCCAGAAAGAGTACAGAGAAGAGCAACAAAGATGATTAGGAGACTGGAGGCTCTCCTAATTTGTCTGAAATGGTATAGGGCAGTGGTTCTCAACCTGTGGGTCGGGACCCCATTTGGGGTCGAACGACCATTTCATGGGGGTCGCCAAACCACGCTGTCCACCATTTTTTTCCCTTTTCCCTAGCTGTCCTACTCCCTCTTATTGGTGGCCACACCCACTTGGGGGTCACCACAACATGGGGAACTGTATTATGGGGTCACGGCATTAGAAAGGTTGAGAACCACTGGTATAGGGTTTCCTGCCTGAGCAAGGGGTTGGATTCGATGACCTCCAAGGTCCCTCCCAACTTTATTATTATTATCTCCAAGGTCTTTTCCAACTTTGTCCTATTCTGTCCTATTCTGTTCTGTTCTATTCTATTCTATTCTATTCTATTCTATTCTATTCTATTCTATTCTATTCTTCTACAGTGGGATGCACTGAGATTTATCACCACCTAAAATACATTCCCGTTCCCTTCCTACAGCTTTTTTCTTCCATACTTATGCATAGAGAAATAGCTATAAGTCACATAATATAATTTTGCCCTTGTCTATTATGGTGTGAACGCCTATGGTCTTGATGGTCCATTCTTCTGCATCTCTGTGCTTAGTATTTCTACCTTAATGCTGCCAAAATGTTGCTTTTGGCATTAATGGGATAGCAAATTAAAAGTAAGTCTCCACAGGCTTTCCTATTAAAAAAAGGAAAAGAAAAGAAAGAATAATTGGATAATTGGAAAAGAAAGTTGGATAGTTCCATCCTGGTGGTGTCCATAACAAATTAGGATGATGTTCTCACACAAATCCCCAACACAAATTCATAACAGTGTATTTGTGTTCCAACACTGATGCAAATATTAAATTGTAATTCACATATTATCATGTTTCTCTTCTGTATTTACACTATACCTGCTTGTTCTTCAAAAAGAAGAGACTAAAATTGGAGCAAAGAATGATGACAAGGGAAGGAACTAAACTTTTAATTAATAATATAGAAACCCTGAAAAGACTTTGCAACAAAAAGGCCTGATTTTCTCAGTATTTTAATATTTATGATTTATAGATTTTCCAGAATCATCCAACCATGGTTGTTCCAAAATAACAGTAACAAGGACAATCTTTATATCACTGCAGTGATGACTGGATGATGCTGGGAAGATACATTAAATCATGGATTGTGAAAACAAGCCATATGGCTAGCAAGTTATGAGAACCTAGCTGTTATGGCTTATAAATTAAGATTTAGTATATTTTGTGAACACAGCTTATGTTGCATTTTATTATTTTAGCCAGCTGGTGAAGCTAAGCAGCTTTAAACATTGATTGGTGAATTGGCTGTATTCATACCCATCATTACTTGATCACAGTATACTGAATCAATCATGAATACATTGTGAGTTTTACTTTGAATGAATTGTGAAGTTTGTTGAATAAACATTGAGCATAAACCACAGTTGGCTGCATTCATACATTAATATATATACCATTGTTTACCCATAATGTCAGGGCTTATACAATATAATAAGATTTAGATTCCCAAACTGGTACCTGTGGGCACTACTGATCCAATAACTTCACTTGGTGTCCATGACCTGTCTGAATTTGCTTTAAAATTATTCTAGCTTTTTTTTAAAAAAAATTAAAAGATGCATGTGAAACTAGTGTGTTGCAAAATAAAACACAGCCTCCAATTATCCTAATGTCCAAAATGTTTTTTATTGCTATGTATTCCCTGAAATATTTTTATAAATAAATATTATGGTGAGTTCTCTATCTGTATATAAAAAAAAAGGTAGCCTGAATTCCTGGGGTACTCACCAGTTTGCCTTCTGGTAATTGGCAATTTTGTTTTTGACCATGCTCACTATGGCAACCATTTCAAAAAAGTGCTATCAAAATGTCAGATGTGCCAACTATTCCAAAAAGATTGGGGTTCCTACAGTAAACTTATCATTTGGCTTTCAGTTGGCTCTGATGTTACATGCTGAGCAAGCA